TAAGTTTAGTGGCCCTGATGGAGCTAGTAAACCGAGAAGACAAGAAGAGAACACCAGGCTAGCCAACCTAGAGGAAGATGGCTGCTAACCTCGCCCGCGTAGAAAGACTAATGAGGAAAGAGTAATGCTAGGGAGACTATCTATTTAAAGTATATTAAAATTATGATATACTTCTATAAAACACTCCCAAATACTTTTTAGTCAAATTACTTTTTCAGATGGGCCTTCAATTTGATTTTCTTTTTACTCTAAGCATGAGAATGACTAGTGAGGAAAGAGTAATGCTAGGGAAACAATCTATTTAAACTACATTTTGTAAAGCATATGACATGGTTGTTGATAATTAGATTATTACTTAAATTATTTGATTAATGCTCATATTTCTTATTGATAACGCATCACATAGTTTACAAATGTAGTTTAAAAAATAGTCTACCTAACATTTCCATGAGGAAACTCTGTTCAAAAATTGAAATAGATTGTGCAGGTTAAAGCTAGTTACTGGTCCAGGGCTGTAATGGTAATATTTCCATCATCTTGATGAATCATGATTATCGATCGCTGAAGCACAATATGTAGTACCAGTTTTGGGACACAGATTCACTTCAAATCTCACATTCCGGAGCCCAAGAACCACATAATCAAGACTACTCAAATTGAATTCGACTGACACGTCCCGATCCCGATATCAAAGGGATAACAGGATGGCCACATGCTGACCGACACCCAAGGGTGACGCAATCCATTTTATGAATGCATATGCCGAGAACATGTGAAACATCCATATAAATTTTGCTCTAACTACACAATGTAATTTTCATATACAAACCTTATCCAAAATAATATAATGGTATGCAGCAGTCAATAAACAGATATTGATAATACATGACATATTCAAAGCATACATCTAGTTCAAAATACAAGCGGAAGGTGGAACAGAAAGTGTTATTACAAGTGATGTCAAAGCAGAGAAGATGACATGATATCACTGGTAGGGGAATGCCTCGTAGCTCGGATCCTACGCCTTGTTCCTATGTCCTGAGAGGGCGCAAAACAAATATGAGTGGACCAAGTTGGTATAGAAGTAGTACAAGTATAGTTATTCCATAACATACTAAGCCCCAAAGTTTATGAAAACTAATAGCATAATATGTGATAGGTTTTCCGAAAACCCTAGCATGCCATAAAACCTTTCTTAAAAAATGTATCATATATAGTGTGCTAACTAGTGGTATCATAATCGCCCAAAGGCTCTCTTTCACGTGCCTATAAGCAAGACATATGCCCGTAGGCAGTACATATGCCCGTAGGCAGAACAATGACCACTAGATAAGTACAAAACATTGAATATAATATTTCCAACATAAGTACATATATCTCAACGAAGCTCAGTAGCTCAAACATCATATCTCAAAATATCTTCATAGTATATAGTCATCCATCATATATACTACAAAGCATAGTATTCCAAAATATTCTTAGTAAAGCATGATATCTCATAAAAAGTAATCATTAAATCATGCTTTTCATGTATGCATTTCTAATACCAAAATTATGCATTTTGGAAAGGGTCCACTCGCAGATACTCCGTCATCGAAGAGCCGTGTGAAATAGGAAGGACATAATCGCCTCTAATAAACGTACCTAAGCACATAAAGGGTCCAATTCATAAAACTCTACCATAACGATTGATTTTCAAAAAACGGACGTCATAAACGGATTCAGGACGTCGAAAAACATAAAGGGGAACCTCGGGTACCCCCACACGCCGCCCATGCGCCGAGATAGGTCCCCAGAAAGTTGGTCGGAAAAGTCGCCGGCACTACCATGGACGGTGGAGGCTTGTGCTTCATGCGCCGGCCAAGACTTGCCCTCACGTGCTCCCACATGCAGACCCACGTGGGCCTGGGTTCTGGGATCCGACTGGGTTTGGGCCATATCCAGGTAAAGTCTGGGCTTGAGTCATAGGCTTAGGCTTCCTAGGGTTTAGGCATGGTGTTCATTAGGCCAAAAGCTTGAGTTGCACAGCCCAAAGGCCTGGGTTCAAAAAACCTGGGCCATTGGGCCTAGGCCGAGAGTCTAGGCCAAAGGTTCTATAACCCAAAGGCTTGGTTTGGGTCTCAAGTTTAATGGGTTGAGCTTGGGGTTCTAATGGGCTTTGGGCTTGAAGCCCAGCCCAAAGCTTTGGGTTTGGGTTAGGTTTCGATCCAGGCCTTAGGATCTCGGGTCAGGTCTAACCCGGTTTCGACGAGGGAGAAGATATAAGTTTCCCAAGCTCCGATTGACTCCGTTACTCAACCCCAAGGTGCGATCTAACTACCAAATTGAATTTTAGGATGAGAGGAAAAGATTCATACCTAAAACACACTGTGTGGTGGCCGGAGCTAGCCGGAGTTTAGCTTGAAAGCCAAAGGGGCTCATCGGAGAGCTTCCTAGGTTCTCTGTGCTTCACAACAAAGGGGAGAGAGAGAGCACAGAGTGAGGTGATGGTGGAGGGTGGTTTCGTTGCCTTTGTGGGTGGGTGTGTCCTTGTGGGAGAGAGAAGAGTGAGATAGAGAGATATACGAGAAGGAGAGAAAGTGTACTCGGGGGAGGGGGAGGGGGAAGAAGAGAAAAGAAGAGAAAGGGAGAAATGGGGTGGGTGTGCCACGTGGCAGGCAAGGAAGAGAGAAAGTGTTAAAATGATAGTAAAAGATAAGGGAAAATATCCCAAAAGGGAAAGGGGAGATCCGGATAGGTTGAGGGGATGAGGGGACAAAATAGTAATTTCATAATTCCGTTAATATGAAAATACATATAATTTGGGACAAGGTTTCACATCTACGGTCCCTATTAACTCATTCCGTTAGCCCACCTAACACAAACCAATTAAGAGCTTCGATTTCTCTTTTACACAAACCAAGGACTCGGATTTCCTAGTCCTTAGGTTTCGTACACTAATGTTAGGAGAGGATCCAAATTCTAAGTTTTGTCCTCAATGGGGATACATACAGGCTCAAAATATTTCCTTTGTTTTGTGTTAAGCTGATGATCTGTGTTTCAACCGTCCCTTCTATCTCCATAATCTAACAAAAATGTTTGGGAGGTGCTTTTTACTGAGAATTGGTTATAAAATTTTTTTTTTCTTTTCTAAAAGCCCTTTTAATTATTTAAAAGCACTCTCTAATTAGTACATCGGTGGAATGGAATCTAACATTACTACTGTGAAATGGAGTAATAAACTGTTTGTACTCAAAGTAGGCTGCACCTTGACGATCAAAGTGCAATTATATTCAGACCTTATAATAGATTTGTTCAGAAGCAAAAATGTTCGAGAAGGGCTATACTATATGTATATGGGTTGGCTGCATATAGAAAATGTAAGTCTCAAAGTTAAGCAAATCCATGACTTGTTTAATAATCACTTAGTTTTTTATTATTTATTTTTATATTTGTGTTAGTGATAGAAGGAAAAGACATGGAAATGAGAGATGAAGAAGAGTGAACGGATGAAGGTGGGAGAGATAAGAAATATATAAGAAAAGGCACACATTAAAAACAAAAACAAAACTATTTTCAGCTTTTCACTTTCAAAATTTTTATTTATATTCCTTCATCTTTATAGTTTCTCCTCCTCACACATTTCTTTTATGTATTTTCTCCAGATAGCATAAATGGTGAAAAATTAAAATTAAAAACAAATATTATTAAAAGAGCATCTAATGTTTATCACACTTGGCTAAACTGGAGGAATCAAAAAGGTTGAATATACATCATTTGTCTATTTTTAAAATGATAATTTGTTACCGAATCAAGGGGATGAGAAAAGAAGAAAACGAATCACTACACTTCGATCTTGTTTTACAAGGTGTATTTATGAAACCCTAATTCTGAACAAACATGAAAGCAATCATAAATCTTAGTAAACCATAAGAAAGCAATCATAAAATTTATTCTACTAGACAACCCTAAGACATAAATTATCAAAAACATATATAACTAAAGAGTTATAACTTAAGTGTATAGTAGTGAATATACATATCTACAAAGACTTGGAAAGAGATTCTAAAAAAAGACATGGAGCACTTGGAGTTAACGGAAGACTTGACACAAAACCGAGATAGTGGCGTCCTAGGATTCATACAGACAACCTCACTTAATAGGATAAGGATCGTTGTTGTTATTGTACAGTAGCAAATAGTTTATCCTGAAGCAACTCTATACAAGCAGTTGAAAATGTGCGGCTATTCTGTATATTTATGCCACCTCTCCGTCTCAGTCAAAGGCTATGCATCTTAATTATATTTTCTTTGGCTAGGAGCTGAAAGCTTAGAACTTGCACTAAATTACCGCTGAAATTTGGAAACTAATTAATTATTATAACCCTATATAATGGTTCTTCTCAACTAATGACATTATACCAAATAAAACAACTTCCAATTTCAAACATTCGGTTACCGAGGAATTTAACTTGCTGCTTAATTTGACCTAGAAGAACCAAGTTCATAAATTAATTTACGTACGTAGACCATTTCTTATTTGACTCAAGACCATATATATATATATATATATATAGACACACACATACACACACGCACATATAATTGTATCTAAAGTTTGATTACTCCAAAGATCGAACCTTGTGAAATAGGTAACCCTTACTGCTGGTATTCACAAGGTTTTAAGTATATATGAACCATTCTGTCAGCTGGCATGGATGCTGCATAACAAGCTAGCTGGTTTCAGTCTAGTTAATTACCAATTAATCAACAAAATTAAAGTATTATAAATTAACATTAAGGGATTTTATAACTTTTATTCAAACAAATGGAAAACTAGAATAATTATATAGTACATATACAAATGTTATAGTTGAAATAAGTTGACAGTGGACTTTGCCTAATGTTAGGAAACACAAGGAAATTTTTGCAAGGTTTTTGACTGCATTTGGCTTTAGCAAATGGACATGAAACTAATTCTGTTGAAGCTCAGCCTATATAAATACAATGCCAGAATGCCTAATATATAGCACTTGACTTGTCTGTCATAGCACCAAATTCAAGTCAATGGATAATTTGCAACTATTTCCCATGTCCAAAATTTCGGTTCTCATCCTTCTTCTTTCCATGTGTTTTGCATCTCCATCTTTAGCTGCAGATGCAAATCCAGTCTCCAAGCAAACCATTTGCAAATTCACCCCAAACCCTACATACTGCAACTCCGTCCTCCCCAACCAGACCTCAAATGCGTACGACTTTGGCCGCTATGCTGCGCAAAAGTCGTTATCACAGAGTCTCAAATTCCTTAACTTGGTGGAAAAGTATCTCCGAAGCCACTCCGCCGCTCTCTCACAAACCGCGGTCCTCGCTCTCCAAGATTGCCAGTTTCTTGCAGGGCTCAATGTAGATTTTCTTGCAAGCTCCCTGGAAACCCTAAACAACACCAATTATCCAACACTTTCTGACTTGAAAACCGACGACATCCAGACCATGCTCAGCGCCATCTTAACAAACCAGCAAACATGTTTGGATGGCATACAAGCCACAGCTTCATCTTGGAGTGTAAAAAGTGGTCTTTCGGTTCCACTCTCTAACGACACCAATCTGTACAGTGTTTCTCTGGCCTTGTTCAACAAGGCATGGGTGCCTAAGAACAAGAAGAAGAAGGGGAGAAAACTGCTTGATAATCAGATCAACATTGATGACGTGTTGGTCAAGGAAATAGTGACTGTGAGTCAGGACGGAAGTGGGAACTTCACCACCATAAACGATGCCGTTGCAGCCGCTCCAAACAAGTCTGAAGCCTCTAAAGGTTACTTCTTGATTTACATAAAGGCAGGAGTTTATGAAGAGTATGTGACCATTGACAAGAAAAAGAAGTACCTCATGATGGTTGGCGATGGCATCAATCAGACTGTCCTCACTGGCGACCGAAATGTTGCAGATGGAAACTGGACAACTTTCAAATCAGCAACATTTGGTAAGAAATAATCAGCAAGTTTCGGTTAATTATTAAGTTAACATATCAGCTTCAAATTAATTTAAGTTTGTACAAGTAAATTTAATTGAACGAATAAATATCTCGGTGCAAACACTTAACTAAAAAATAGAAAATATGAACTATAGTGATTTATATACAACTTGCTGTATGTTTAGTGCACTAGTTTAATTTTTGAATTTTTTATGAAAACTTTGTAACCCCCATTTTACTTTTGCATATATATTTCCGAGCGAGTTTTGTTATAACTTGTACGCCAATTGATTCATGTTGCAGCTGTAGTTGGACAAGGGTTTGTGGCAGTGAACATGACGTTTCGTAACACTGCCGGGCCCGTGAAGCACCAAGCAGTCGCGGTTCGAAACGGGGCTGATCTATCCACATTCTATAGGTGCAGCATTGAAGGGTACCAAGACACCTTATACGCACATTCTATGAGGCAATTCTACAGAGAATGTGACATCTACGGCACCGTAGACTTCATATTTGGTAATGCCGCAGTTGTCTTCCAAAACTGCAACATTTATCCCCGCCTGCCGATGAGCGGCCAATTCAATGCCGTCACGGCTCAAGGTCGAACTGATCCGAACCAAAACACGGGCACTTTGATTCACAATTGTACCATACGAGCTGCCAATGATCTGGCTTTGAGCGACGGTAGTACAAAGACTTATCTGGGAAGGCCATGGAAAGAGTATTCTAGGACAATTTACATGCAATCCTTCATGGATAGTTTGATTGATGAAGACGGTTGGCATGAATGGGATGGAGATTTTGCCCTGAGTACTTTGTATTATGCGGAGTACGATAGCAGTGGACCCGGTTCGGACACTAAAAGCCGAGTTGCATGGGCGGGCTATCATGTGATTGATGCTGGTGATGCTTCAAATTTTACAGTATCCAATTTCTTGCTGGGAGATGCTTGGCTGCCTCAAACTGGAGTGCCTTTTTCTGGTGGCTTATACTAATATTACAAACAATATGGTAAATTGGATTTGGAAGTAAAATTATTATGATTTAATTAGTTTATTTTGATTGTTGTTTTATGATTTTAAATACATTAAAATTTCTCTAAAGTAAACTCTGTAATGGAATAACAGCTAGTCATAAAAATTTTATGTCCCAATTTGAGACCATTTATGTATTGGAAATTTGAATAACCTTCGTATTGTATTAAGTTATAATTTTTCTTGATCTCATCTTAAGGAAACACACAACCATATGGTTATAATTGTCAATGAGTTCAAAAATATGCAAGAATTAAAATACTTGCTACCACAGAATCCTATTTAGAAAATACAACATTCATTAAGGATAAATAAGTCAATAAATAATATTTCAATTATGTATTAGAGTAAACTCAACACTGTAATAAGTTATAACTTTTTTTTGTCTCATTTTAAGGAAACGTGCCTCCACATATTGTTGATGAATACAAATTAAAACATGCAAGAAATAAAATATTTGGCGCCATCTTAACTAATAACCTCTCTAAAATTATAAAATTATTTTAGTCCCAACTATATATAACTTTAGACAGATTTTACTATAACTTCACTGGCAAATGTTAACATCAATTATATAAATCAAAGTTGTGCGCATTTCAACATCTATAGCATATGTAAGCGTCTTGTAGCGTAGTTTGTACTAATATTAAACCTGGTGTCCCAAATTTGATTTTGTTCTTTCCGTTATCACTTGTATGTGTATGTACAAATAATAATAAGCCATGTTATTTTAGTAGGACTGTGGCTCCCTAATAAATAAAAAAAGGTGGAAGGTTTTGGGTTTGATGTGCCGAACTAGTCGGTATATTTGACTATGGCCACAAACATGTTGAAATTCCTCATAACCTTTCTGGGTCCGAAAAGTTTGGATAACTGTGGGTTACCACCAGTTGTTCTCTTTTAAAAATGAAAATAAAAAATAACTTGTGGAGACAAATGATAAGATATTTCTCACAAATTAATTGAAGTGATGGAAAAGTCCAACGTCTGAATTCAAACTTCATGCATTATATTAATTTGACTTTTTTTATGCCTGTCAATTTGATCTACTTCCAACGACTCGATATCTCATCAAGCATTATTAATATAGCAGAGTTTTAAGATTAAACTGGGAAAGAAAGATGACTGCATAATGTTACCATTTTTACTTAAAGTATAAGATTTCTAAAATGAGATACATATTAAATATGTGTTCACTCTTAATACAACATGCAGAATAATACATCACATAATTTTTGTTCCCAACTTTCTAGTTCCAATAAAAATTTCTCTTAATTTGGGCGTTGAACTTGTCAATCATCATTATTTCTATGATAATTATCAACCAAGTGGGATTAACATAAAAGGTGGAATTTTAGATATGAAAGGAAGCTGCTGGAAAGCGCCGCAGGAATGCAAGTTCGAAACATTGACTTGGTCACGTCACTTTATCTATACACCCAACTTGTAATTAAGGTAGGGCAATGAGGAAGCTGAGGACTTGTGTACAGTGTATGGTGTCTGATTATTCCACCGTCTTTGAAACAGCTCGTGTCAATTCCCAATGGCTAAGTTTTCAACGCGGTTACAGACTGCATATGTTTCTGGTCCGACTTAAAATATATATTACATGTACATCAATAGCTTAGAAAGTCAATATAATGAGAGGTATAGAGCATAGCTTAGCAAGTCAATATAGTGAGCGGTATAGACCATCTTCAAAAAAGTTAGTAAAGTTTTTATTTGAAAGTGTCATTTGTTAAGTTTATTTGGCACATTTATGTTAGTTTAAAAATTGATCAAATCACATTTTATCTCACAGATTTTCCATTAATTTCAATTCATAAAACATCTTTTAATTTTTTTTTTAATTTCATACTAACGGCTCACGATTTCATATTAATGTTATACAACTGTTAATCAATTTGTCTTTAGCTGTTGAGTGATTATGTGACAAGCACTAAGTTCATATTTAATTATTAATAATGCAAAAATTAGAAGATTATTAATTTAATATTTTATTTAGAAATTAAAAAATAAATGAAAGAAGATACGAGCTCCGCCACTACGCAGAAAAACTCCATTTGCCGTCTGTCCCAAATGCTTAAAAATGAGCCTCCATAACCGACGCAAATAATAATTGATATAACAGAAATATAGTTAGAAGGATATTATAGTAATTGGGATATATGGCTATATAAGGGATTGTATAGCTATCATTTCCTTAAGTTCAGTTATATACATTTTGCCTGATCAATCAATACAATCTCTCTTGTTTCTCTCTACCAATTCTTTCTCGTTCTCTAAACCAATTCTTCATCTTTTGCAATGTAGTTAATATGGTATCAGAGCCACCATGCTCACGTCATGGATTTTGGTGGTTCAACTTCCTATTATTTTTCATCTGTTTATAGCTTTAGTTTCTTTCCAAATTTTCATTAGATGTTCCGATAAATTTTTATGTGCTTCCGCGATCATTCTATTACTTTCTGGGTTTCTTGTTCTTGTTCATTGGGTTTCTAGGTTTCATAAGCTTTGGTGCTTCTGCTTCACTCGCTTCACCAGAACCGGACGCATTGAAGTTGATTCTTAGTGGCTTTACTTGTGCTTGTTGTCCAATGAAAACCAGAACAGTCTCGTCAAACTCATGTGTTGAAACCGATGTTGCAGACTCCACTTCCCTATCGACTTGGACCCTATCCTGATTCTGCATTCTCCAGAAGTGAAACGGCGCCGTGCGCTCAGGGTGTGGGATCGAATTGGAAAATGGAAGTGGAGTGACAGTGTTTTGCTGATTTGCCGGGATCTGGGTTTTCCTCAAAATTTGGTGTTGCTTCACCAGAATCTTGTGGTTCTTGTTTGTTGGAATCTGGAATTTGTGTATTCTTTCTCTCTAATGGGTTCTTGCCTATCATGTGTTCGATCTTATGCGTCAATGAAATTTCAGTAAACAGAGTCTGCAACTAAGTCTTTCGAAAAAGCAGCGAAATCTCATAGCTTCCTGGAAGCGAAGAAGAAGCAATTATCGGAGGAAGTGGAAGCAATTCTTGCGCCTGCGGATGACTCTTTGATATCTTGATCATGGTGGTTAGGCAATTCTTGGTGTTTGCATTACTTGCTTGGTAACGTTGCATTTCCGACTCAATTGCTTAATTTCATAACTGGGTAGCTCGATTTGTTGATTCTTGGATGGTTCTTAGAGATCTTTGATCAGTAGAGTAGACTGTGAATTGAGTTCAATTTGGTGTTTTGATTAGTAGGTGATTAGCACAGTTTTTGATTCATGGAGGCGGTAACCTGCAAGTTGGGGCTCATTTATCAATTGGGTTTATGAAGAAGCTACTGCTAATTACTTGGTTAGTAATTTTGATTCATAGAGAAGGTGTTGGGGCTACAATGTGTTCAGTTTGGGGTTACTGCTAAAGGGAATTACTGTTTTGTGTACTCTATGATTTGGGTATTCTGCAATTAACGTTTTTGTACTCTGTGCTATGTATCTGGCACTTTGATCCATGTTCTGTTCTCTGTTGTGGAGAAAATTTCTCAACTTTGTGCAGTCCACATGTTTGAAGAAATGCACAGCTTAAGTTGTTTTGTGAAGTTAGTGAAGACACATGTTTGTCAAGTTGTTTTGTTGTTTGTTGGATGAATTGTCTAAGATAAACTACTATTTCATTCAGTGATTTGGTTGGATTACAAGATTTCAAGAAAGTGTCATTCTTTCTTGATGGATAAGAAAGTATCATTCTTTCTTTGATTCCATAGAATTTGTCAAGAGTATCATTCTCTTGTTGCCTTAGAATTTGTCAAGAGTATCATTCTCTTGTTGCTTTAGAATTTGTCAAGAGTATCATTCTCTTGCTGCCTAGAAGAATTTATCTGTTTTGAATTTCTAGATTGTACTTGTGTCTTTCATCGTGGCTTCACCAACGGCATAAGTTGTAGTCTTGTGTCTCAACTCTTCAAGGAGCTGCAAAAGCTCTCAGTAATCTTTTGGTCAGCAGTTACAAAGGTGTCATGGGGTGCACTTGTTTGATTCAGGGTTTTAGGAAAGCTAGAAGATTTGGTGATCGGTTTTGTGGGTGCTTTCTTGTTAGCAGCAGATTAATCCAAAGTTGGTGATTCTAATCAAAGTACTACAATGTTGGATCATCAAATTTATCAAAAATGGTTGCTGTCAGCATCAAAAGTGGAACTTGTATCAAAGGTATTCCAATCCTTTGGCTGCACCAGAAGTTATTTTCATTCGTGTGTTCCAATCCAATGGTTCCTTATCAGGTGGAAGATCGCGAAGGTGATCTTCCAATGATCCTAAAGGCATAAAGATCTTCCAATGATCCTAAAGGCATAAATTCATAAACAAAAAGTCGTTGGTCTCCAACAACACAGTACCTAATAAGATTCACTAGATTAGGGTGATGCAGAAACTGAGCATGAGAACCTCAACAAGAAATTCTTTGTTGCCCTGAAGTCCATTCCTATCCAATTGTTTAATAGCAATCACCTGACCAGTGCTCTCAAGTCACCCCTTGTATACATGCCCAAATCCCCCTTCCCCTATGAAAGACTATGGCCTGAAGTTCTTTGTTGCAATCGCGAGTTCACAGAAAGTGAAAGTTTGAGCAGCAAGTTCCAAACTGCAAGAGACAAGGGTTTGGGGTTTTCTGTAGTGTTTAGCTTCATAACTGTAATTGCAGATGTATTTACAAAAGGATTGCACAGTTCAATGTTCTTGAAGCATTGCAGACATCTTAGTCTTGTAGTTCCAGATCAATCTCAAATACCTGGCTAGTTCAAACTTCACTTGGATACTCCAAGTTTAGTTTGAGGGGGGAGTAATAACTGATACAACAGAAATATAGTTAGAAGGATATTATAGTAATTGGGATATATGGCTATATAAGAGATTGTATAACTATCATTTCCTTAAGTTTAGTTATATACATTTTGCCTGATCAATCAATACAATCTCTCTTGTTTCTCTCTGCCAATTCTTTCTCTTTCTCTGTACCAATTCTTCATCTTTTGCAACGTAGTTAATAGCAAAAACGTTCTTAAAAAGAATGAGGATCTATTTCCTTAAAGAACTTGACAATTAACATGTGAGATTGTCCCACAACAGATATTTACCGTAACTACAAATTAATATGATTGTTTAAACCCAAGCATAAGTGATATGTAGGGTTCGCATTGCTTTGGCATATTGAGGACATGCATGTATAATTCCAAAACACACTGCCTGCACTCGTCAATGCAACGTAGCAAAAGGAAAATATTCAAAACCCACCGTCACTAATTGAACTCGAGTGAACTTTCCTTATAGTTTACTATAAACTCATCAAAACTGATCGTGTTAATGGTTTTATTTTATTAATCCAATTAGCTAGGCAAGATATAATGGCATGAGAAATACTTATCGGACTTTCTTAAAAGTGGAACTCATCATGAATTCTATGTCATTTCATTATTTTTTTGCACAATATATTATAATATTGACATGAAAATTGACGTTAAACTATATGGTGATAAAAAATTTATAAAAAATCTCACTTTTGAGAGAGTTCTCTTACCATTTCTCTAATCTTATATCTTCTGGGTTAGTTGACAATAATTTCACCTTCAATTTAAAACACACCCACTACCAGAATAATATCGAATTGAAAATTCTCCAAGTAGCAAATGCGACAATATAATTGGCCGAAAGTTCTAACATGCAAATACCTCATCAAATTATTATATAAATGAATGAGGATCCCCGGATCCTCAAATCGTATTCATTTATCATATATCGTGCAATCAGAAATCATTTTAAATTCAATATGAATAGTACCTCATAAAAATTGACTATACAATATAAAATGAATGGACATGATTTGAGGATCTCCAAGATCCTCATAAAGAGGATACTCCTGAAATACAAATCATGCCTGAAGATTGATATCTAGCCTACTCGATGTCACCAATCCCCTTCCCTTGGGCACCTGCCCCACCGTTGATAAATGCCACAATGCATCTAATTTCTAAGTAAATAACAAAATACAGTGAAATATAAAGTTAATTTAGGAGCTATTATTGGACAACCCACTCAAGAAATCATATATCTTTTATTTTATTTTATTTTATTTTACAAGAATATAGAGTGATTTCATTGTGAGAACCAAACAAATACAAGAGAGTACGTACAAAAGGTAATATAGAACTCTTATATAATTACCATACGAACTAAGAGAAATTGGTATAAATCTGCTACAAAGGCAACAGAAGCTAAAGACCTAACAGACTGGCACCTATGTTTCCAAAAAATCACTCGCTAAAACAACGAGACCACATATTCTATTGGATGAATGGAACTAGCTAGGATGACTACATACTACGATTAGTCGACGTTTGCATGTACAATAACATCAAGTCTGAGATCTAACGCGTATTTGCACACAAAGTCTTACAATTCAGTTGACCTCACAAATACGAATACCCACAAAAAAATTGTTCACTCCAACCACCATATTATCAATCCAGAAAAATAATTCACCTCCCTCTGTCGCCTCCTATATATATATATATATATATGAATCAAGCCTATCACCAATCATCAACTCCACTAAATAGTATACAATACTAATTCAAATTCCAATCCAAATGGCTTATAATTCTAAGCTAATCTCATCCCTCAATCTTTTAGCTTCATTTCTCATCCTTCTCGTTCCACTCTTTGCCTCTCTACCTTCAGCTGCGGATAACTCTTCAACCACGGTCTCCGCCGGAACCATTTGCAAATCCACCCCCGACCCTTCCTTTTGCAAATCTGTCCTCCCTCACAACCACAACCCCGAAAATGTCTACTACTACGGCCGGTTCTCCGTCGGAAAGTCTTTATCTCAATCCCGAAAATTCTCGAAACTTATCGACAAGTATCTCCAAAGACGTTCTACTTTGTCACTTACCGCCGTCAGAGCCCTCGAGGACTGCCGGCTGCTTGCCGGCCTCAACATGGACTTTTTGCTCAACAGTTATGAAACCGTCAATAAAACTAGCAAAACCCTTTCCACACTCAAAGCCGACGACGTCCAAACCCTCCTCAGCGCCATTCTCACCAACCAGCAAACATGTTTCGACGGCATTCAGTCCACCGCGTCGTCGTGGAGTCTGAAAAATGGCCTCTCCGTCCCCCTCAAAAACGACACGAAATTCTACAGCGTTTCGCTAGCACTTTTTACCAAAGGGTGGGTTCCCAAGAAGAAGAAACAAGCCGCGTGGCGCCCGACTAGGACGCAGCGGGGCTTCAAGAACGGACGCTTGCCGCTGAAGATGTCGAGCAAAACGCGTGCCATTTACGAGAGCGTGAGCAAGCGGAAGATGCTGCAGACGGAGACGGCAGACGATGAGGTGTTAGTGAGTGAGATCGTGACGGTGAGTCGGGATGGAACCGGAAACTTCTCCACCATCAATGACGCCATTGCGGCGGCTCCAAACAACTCTGCGCCAACTGATGGGTACTTCTTGATCTATGTCACAGCCGGTGTTTATGAAGAGTACGTCTCGGTTGCTAAAAATAAGAGGCACTTAATGATGGTCGGAGACGGCATTAACCAGACGATTATCACCGGTAACCGGAGCGTTGTTGATGGATGGACAACTTTCAACTCTGCAACATTTGGTAAGTAGTCTTAAACAAGAAATTAAAATTCATTATATTATAATTGACGGTCTAACAACACAATTAACTATTTGAGATTGGTTAGGTAACACCTTAATACTTTTATTAAAAAAAATATTAAGACTTTTCTTAAACATTCAAGAGAGTTGCTTTGAATGAGCATGACAGAAAACGATGTCATTAAACATTTAAAAGTGCTTTAATATATCAGTAATCATTATATAATGTTGAATTAGTATCTTACAAGTTCTCGAATATGATAAATATTGCAGCTGTGGTTGCACCTGGATTTGTAGCGGTGAACATAACGTTCCGCAATACCGCCGGAGCAATCAAGCACCAAGCCGTTGCAGTCCGAAGCGGGGCGGATCTGTCCACCTTTTATAGTTGCAGCTTTGAAGCGTACCAAGACACACTATACACACATTCTCTTCGGCAATTCTACAGAGAATGTGACATATACGGCACCGTAGACTTCATATTTGGAAATGCTGCAGTAGTTTTCCAAAACTGCAACATTTATCCCCGCCTGCCGATGAGCGGTCAGTTCAACGCCATTACGGCTCAGGGTAGAACAGATCCGAACCAAAACACAGGCACTTCGATTCATAATTGCACCATTCGTGCCGCCGATGATTTAGCCTCTAGCAACAGCAGTACAAAGACTTATTTGGGCAGGCCATGGAAGGAGTATTCTAGGACAGTTTACATGCAGTCTTACATTGATAGCTTGGTGGAACCTGTTGGTTGGCGCGCTTGGGACGGAGATTTTGCGCTAAGCACATTGTATTACGCTGAGTACAACAACACTGGGCCCGGATCGAACACTACGAACAGAGTTACGTGGCCCGGTTATCATGTGATTAATTCTACCGACGCCGCTAATTTCACGGTGACTAATTTCTTGCTGGGAGATGATTGGTTGCCTCAAACCGGAGTGCCTTACACTGGCGGATTAATTTGATAAAGTTCTTGGATTGCAAGCCATTTTTTCATCTTCTCTTTTACTATATTCTTTCTCCTTGCCATTTTTTAAAGTGAAGTAATAAGCATGTAATGCCCAATTAAGCATTCTCAATTTAGAACTTCGGATTTAAATTTATAAATGGTTTTATTTTTTGTATTGTAACTGATTAGCTTTATAACAATCATGTTAGAAGAAACTTTCTTGATACCTCTTAATACAATTTGTCAAATTTGAAGCATATACATCAAAAGATTGGATTACACTTTATGTAGTTCGTTGTTAGTAAATTTTTTTTTTAATGTGACTTCCAAAAATGCTAGAGAAATGCCTGAATATATAGCGTTGGCTGATCTAGATTTTTTTTATTTTATATATAAGGCTATGGCATCCTATTATAACGTTTTTGACCTAAAATAGATATCGACTTGTAGTGTAGTGCCTTGACATACCAACATGGGTGGGATTATGTCATGATGTCCATCCATTTTATAATATATGAACTAGTAACAACGTATGTAACATCCCACATCGACCAATAGAGAGAGGGTGATGTGCCTTATATGTACATGCTCCCCTCCCTATTGCACAAGGCTTTTTAAGAACTCACTGGCTTCAGATTCCATCGGAACTCCAAAGTTAAGCGAGTTCAGGCGAGAACAATCCTAAGATAGGTGACCCACTGGGAAGTTCTCGTTTGAGTTTCTAGAAACAAATTCATGAGGGAATGGCAAGCCCAAAGCAGACAATATCGTGCTACGGCGGAGCCGAGCTTAGGATGTGACAAAATGGTATCAGAGTCACTCTGCTGTTCAGTGCGAGTGTGCCGACAAGGACGTCGGGCCCCTAAGGGGGATGGATTGTAACATCCCACATCAAACTAACGGAGAGGGGGTGATGTGGCTTATATGTACATGCTCCCCTCCCTATAGCACGAGGCCTTTTGGGAACTCATTGGCTTCGAATTCCATCGGAACTCCAAAGTTAAGCAAGTTCGGGCGAGAGTAATCCTAGGATGGATGACCCACTGAGAAATTGATAGAGTGACTGTTACAAAAATCTCTCTCAGATCAAGAAAGACTAGATCTAAGCTAACTTCGACATTTGACAAGCTGCAGGAAGTGAAGGTGTATAGCATGTGATACGTAAACTATGTGCCCCATATCAATTCCAGGGCTCATGTTTCCCTCGCTCTTGTTGGTTGTTAGCTTCCAACAGCTTTCCATACTTAAGCATACATCCCAAGCCATCCACGCAATTGAAATGAAGGACATGAAGGAGTACTCTGTTTCGTGTCGGGCAAAAGATTACAAGTTTAGATGCCCAATTTATTAGGCAGCGATTTATGGCTTCAATTATATGACTCAAATTTGGTCTAAAAGCCAAGATATTAATTTGAGACACTCTGCTTTTGTTCTTTTGGTCTGCTAATCTCAAATGGCTCTACTTCTTTGACATAATGCAGTGTAAAGAATGTTCTACGTTGAACACTAACTTCGGTTTATCTAACCTACTGACCTTTAGTTGTATCACAAAGCTAACAAGTTAAAGAATTTAGACATTTTTTTAATTTTTTTAATTATTTTATGTTTAGAAACCTCGGCAATACGAGATGATTTGTATTGATAGTGAAAAAAGAAATTATACCTAGTCAGGAGGAGATAAACCTTACCGTCATAATGCAAGAAAAATAAAATAAAAAATACATGAAAAAGAAGGAAAGACATAAGAAAAACTTGTAGGCCGGGATGCTCAAAAATTCATATGAGGAAAAGGGAATCTCCATGGGTGGAACCGCATGCCATACGGGGAAAGATGAAAGTAACCCTAAATTTGCTAATTTATCAGCGATCGCATTCCATTCTCGACAAAATATGAGAGCACCGGAAAATCATGTGTTTCAAAAGGGAATGACATTTTTCCCAACGAATCCACAGCTGCCAAAAAAAAGAAAAAGTCAAAAGAAAAGCAGAAGATCACACTGGAAGCATCGCTTTTGAGCCACAACTTTCACCATCCCGCGAGTGGGCCAGCTCCACAATAAGGATGAAAACATGAAGCTCTGCATAGAAAGAAGTACATGATGCCTCAAACTCTGAAAGAAACCATCAAGAAAATAACCTGCTGAATCACGAAAACCCCATGACAAGATGTACGACCCGAGTTACCCTTAGCAAGCCCATACGCATTCTCCCTAGCCCAATCATACGGAGGATGCCAAATAATGAGAACAATAAAAGGAGCATTACATAACTTGATTGGAATACCAAGAGAGATTTAAAGTTGCTTATCTAAAACTCCGCGAACATAGCCAAGAGTGAAAGAGAAAACTCCAAACTGCCAACTCCGACGTTCATAAATTTATAAATATATATATCATCTTCTAATGCATGAACACAAGATTATGGGCTATTAGACTCTTTTGATTTGTTACTTGGAGAAGAAGATTCTCAAAAGTAAGACTTTTCATGAACTCTCTGTCATCCCATGTTTTTTGCAAAAGGTTTTCTAATGTTGACACGGAAATTGTATCAAAAATATGAAGTGACGGAGAGTACATAAAGAGTCTCACTTTTGAGAGAATTTCCTTAATTAGCATTGAGAAATGCTAAGAAAACTCTCTCAAAAATGGAAGAGATTTTTTAGTGTGACCGGTACGCGGAGTGGTACATCACATGTTACTATACAAATGGTGGGATATGTGTGTTAAAAAGTTAATAACTTAAAAAATAAAATTTCACACCATTTATATAAAAACATGTGGTGTACCACCTGTGTTCCAGTCACAATGAAAATTTTATCGCTTATGGGACTCTCCGCCATCTTTTTTTTTTTGATGAAATTCTCATGCCAACATTATAAAACTGTATACCAAAAAAACAAGATGGCAAAGAATTTATAGGAAGTCTCACTTTGAGAGAGCTTCCACACAAGCAACAAAATTGATTGCGTCCTTGTACTCTTTTTTGTTTCTGCTCCTTATCTTTGCTATGACGCATCTGAAATGAATGTAAATGCCACTCATAGAAGACAACTACATAGGAGTTACCAAAAGCAATCCTTCTGAACCCCCTTCTTTCACGTGCATGTGTTCCGTTATACCTTAGAACTCTCATGCATCTTATTAATCTCTACTTAAACAAAATCACGAACATTTAATTTACTAGGTTTGCTCTTCCAATCGTTTCTGACAGATCACATCAACTTGATGATATAGCTATACCATCTTGTGACGGCAGACATTGCTTTGAGTTTGGCAAAAACTATTAGAGAGAACTCAGAGAAGGATGCATCGCTACGTATTTGCACATGATTATTTGGTTTAATAGCCGTTAATTAGATGTTGAGTTCAAATTTCACAAAAAACTGTTAATAAAATCGTTGCGTGGTATATATAACCAACAATTGTGATTGAAAAACTGTGAGTCATTCACAAAGTTGACACATTTTAGTAATTTATAATTTATATTAATTACATAAGTTTAAAAATTTGACCATATTTAGCTAGCTACTAATTAAATCCGTACGATGAGGACTCAAGAAAATCACTTTTCAGCAGGCAAGACCTTGATTATGGACAAAATATTATTGCACAACAGGCGGAACGCTTTGTTCTTCTCTACCATCACGGATTCCTGTCCCTTAAGAGAGTTGTCGCAGAAGTCGGCGTCAGAAATCGCCACGTTGACCCACACTTCAACGTCCTTGAATTTACTCGCCGAGATGGCGGCGGTGCAGTCGTCGAGCTGGTCGTTGGCATCGGAGTAGTGCTCAACGCAGTCCGCCAACCCCTGCTGAATCACGGGGTCCAAGGAGGTGGCGTTGTGCATGAGCAACGACCGCATGTGCTCGTCCACGTCGGCGGCCATTGCCGCTGCCAGCCGGACGGCAATGTAGGCAAGGCCGATGAGGTCAGCGCCCTTGCTGTTCGAGTCCTTCTCTAGGGATTCGATGCATAAGTCCTTCCTGGGTGAATGCTGGCACGCTTGTTCAAGAAGCTTCATATTCACCTCCCCCGCGGCGGCAGCGGTGTTGCTTCCTTCACTTTCACCTTGACCTTGACCATTACCGGCGACCACGACAAATCTTGCGGCACACAATGTTGAGAGGAAGAAAAATGCTGCTGCAATTGGCTTCATTATTTTTCTTTTTCCTTTTTTTGTTGTTGTTAAATTAATAGAAGTTATTTAATTAGAAAACAAGGAGAATGAGTATATAAATATGAGGAGGAATTGGAATGGTGGTCGGTTTTTGTGAGAGGAGAGCCTCTCAATGCTGCGATTTATGAGGAACCATCACCTTCACTGGTTTCTCCTAATTTTTTAAACGCGTTTTGGACGTTGATTTGAACGACTGGGACCAAGGTGGATTTTGTTCTTCTAAATTTAACACATGTATGGTTATGCGGCTTGTGCTGAACATAGGCAATTTGGAAATCGGGATTGTATGTTGGGCTTGAGTTATGATGGCTTTCCAAATTTCCTTAGAGGTTTGTAGCCCTAGGTATGCTTGGGCTATGTTCGTATTTTGTTTGGTGGCTTGGTCGTATAACTAAATTATTAACATTGTAGAAGACTAATTTTTCGCCATTGTTGAATGAATGGGATTACATGAGAGTGCCTTGGAGTTGAAGAAAACCTTGGGGCCGTTTGAAAACCACTTGTTTTCAATTTTTAGTTTTCACTTTTTTTGAAAACGGAAAGTTGTTACCATTTTTTTTTAAAAAAAAAAATTGAAAGTTGAAAACAAAATAATTATCAAACTCTCCCTTAGATAAACAACATGACCGACTATATTGATAACGTAGCTTTTCCAATGCATGCGAGTTAACCTTTATAAGATTGGCTGGTTGGTCTGCTCTACTAAATATTTTAGCACAACAAGTAGGCATCATTTATAAAGTTAACCTCCACCACTTGCTTGAAGAAAACCCTTACTTGAACTAAGCTACCACCTCTTAACAAGCAAGCCCACAACTGAAGTAACGCTCCACCATCTGCTTAAAGAAAGTTGTCTCCTTTTTATTGACAGCTTTTGCTTCTCTCAACCAATTTTGCTTATTTCAAAACCAAAACTAAGAGGTTAGGGTTTGAGAGAAAGATTTGTTTAAGTTAAGGAACTGAACTGTTGGATTCCATGGTTCAAGCATGGTGAATCGTGTAAGTATCCTTGTGTTGTTAGCATTGCTCTGCTTCCATCATTCTGCATTTCTGAGCTACTATTATTGTATTGTGATTCAGTTTTCAGCTTCCTCCATTGATGTTTGAACCTCAATTGATTGTTGATTCAGATGCCATTGCCTTTGTTTCATTGTTTAAAGTGTTTGTAATCGAACATCGAATATCATCTGAACATGTGGTTGATTCAGTTCGTTTGAATCATCTGAAAGAGTCTAGACCTTTAATCATTTGGTAATAAGGCTCATGTGACCACCATGGGAATAAGGCTTCATTAGATTTACTGTTGAGGAATTACATAACTTAATTGTATTGTTATTGATTCACTAAAAGCTTGTGTTCATTGTATTGCAGCTCTTGAATCCAGCTCCTTTGATCTTCCATTCGAATCATTTCGTCCCTTTTAGATCAGCTTGGGTGAGAAGCTGACATGATTAGGATGTTTTTAAAGAGTTGTAGAAGATTTGAGTTCATTTTGGAAGACATTAGATGTTCTTGTAGTTGTTTTGACAACACAGTGTACGTTGATGTTTTGTACTTTTATGCTAGATTTTCAAACCTTTGTGGTTTCATTTTGAGGTTTATTTTTAGTGGTAACGAAATTGTTTACATTCAGTTTTGGAGACTTTAAAATAGTTAATTTTCGCTTTTTTTAAAGTAACGTGAAATATTACCTACTTAAGTTTACTTTGTGCCAAATTCAAGGTGTGACGTGAACTCTTTGCGTGTGAATTTTATTCAAGTTCCATTCAAACAAGATAATTAAAATGAGGCAAAACAACCTTTAAAAAAACAATAAATGTTGGCAAATGATAATGTATTAATAATGATGAAAGCATCATAAGATCAATGTTTCGGATACCTAAACCGGGTCGTATAAAACTCAAACGTGAAAATAAAAAACAAAAACATTATTTTTAAGAAAAGAATATTGCTTGACTACATGAGTTAGTGTATACACTTTGTATACAAACAAATTATACAATACAATCACAAGGTGTACCAAAACGCTGCCAAAGAAAAACAAAAGCGCCAATAAGATTATTTCCCCATTGCACTGCCAAGTGCAAAGTACCAAAATCCAAATGGATCAGATTGTTCTGAATCTCTATGCTCCAAATCCTCTTTAAGGACAGAAATCTGGGTGCCCGATTCACGAACCCGAACTTTTTTGTCCACTGTAATTGTTTCTTGGTGAACCAAAACCGATACGGTTAGGCACCTCCACAAATACCCCAACCACTTTCCTGAATGGCTTCCTCCCCCATCGGACCCTTCTTAAAACCGTCTTTTAAAAAAAATTAAACAATGTATTGATACTAAAAAACAATAATTAAAAGTGATGCAAACTTTTGAACTCACACTAATGACAGTTTTCAAATATTAATACATGTAAATAAATGTAAAAAAATAACCATATTAGACCATCTTCAAAGGAGATGTCAAATATACCAAATAGGATTAAAAGACATTTTAAGTGTTTTCCAATGGATATGCCATATATGATGTGGCATGTGAGTCATTTGACTTCTTGCTTTCTAGCTATCTTTTTTGGCCACAAATAAAGAATGAGTCAAATATATTTAATTTAATTTTTAATGCATGGGTCCTATTAACAACCAATAGAATAAAAACTAAAACTAATTTTGATTATTTTTTAATAGATAATGTAACTCTAGGTCCAATAAAATAATAAAATAAACATTTGACACATCCATTAGAAAAGAAGAGAATTTAGCACTTGTATTCAATTTGCCACATCAACCATCAAATAAAATTTTGACATACTATATTTGACATCTCCTTTAGATATGCTCTATTACTAAATAATCAACAATCAGTTCAATCTTAAGAAACCAAATGAACAAAAGCTTCAAAAAATCCAGTTTCACTTAAAAATAGTTTTTTTGCGAACTCATCAAGCAAACCTTCATAATCAATTTTGTCTACAAAACCACTTTGAATGCATATCAAAGCAAACTCATTTAACCTTTCATACAACATGATTGATCGCAAGTATAATTTGTAATATTGTAGGACACTTGAAATTTTTTCTTTATCACATTCAGATAAATAATGCTATATATATAAGATATGAAATTGTTTTGGGGACCTTTTAATTTTAGGGCCCTGTGCGGTCCAACATTTTGCTCTCCTCCCAAAGTCAACACTGTTCCGGTGATATACTCGTCCACGACGCAAGTCTCGAAAAACTCATTTTACCCTCACTCTTCCCTTGCTCCGAACCGGCCCGTTCATTCACTGATTGATATTTCGGGCGAAATCTCTGGCTTAGAATCTGGAATATCGGATTGAACCGGCGCCCTGCAGAGTGGACAATTGGACTGCGACTGAAACCAAGTGTCGATACAGTAGATATGGAAGGCATGGTTGCACTTGGGCAGTACATGGCCTTGCTGTTGGTTTTCAAACTCCCATAAGCAAACTGCAAGGAGGTAGGGTTTTGAGAAGAGAGGGATCTAAGGCCTTTGGATTGGTAATTGAAGAGAGAGTGGTTTCGAGGAGGGAGGTAAGAGAGCGGTGGTTGCGAGGACGTCAATGGTGGCGGCGGCGGCGGTGGAAGAAGTAGCGGACGTTACGACGGAGCTGTGGTCCTGTGGAAGCAAGCGATGGTGGAGACTACAACGAATAGAATGATGACTGAGCAGAGCATGATCTTGCCATTCAAAGCGTAGTGGGTGGGTTTGTGGCTGTCCATATCAACGGAGTGGGTGAGTTTTCAAACATTTTGTTTGAAACTTAAAGGAGAAGGATGGGGCTTAAGTTATGGGGGAAGAGGAAGGGTTGGTGGCTCTGCAATTGGTAGTGATGACTGATAAAGGTTGGGACTTTGAGTTTGGTGGGTTGTTTTTAAGAGCCTCAGCACTTGGGCATGCATATGTGCCGACGAAAGCTAGCTGCTCTTGCTAAAGTTATTTCTCTTATATGCATGCATGTCACGAAAAATGTTTCAATGGGGCTGAAATATGAGGTGATACACCATGTTATTATATAATTGAAAAAAAAAATTATTAGAAGTTAAATTTTTTGACTGACCGTGTGATTATTATTCCAATTTATAAGAATCAAACTCGAAATTTCAATGTATTGTGAAATATCTTTTCAGTCCAACTAAGGACTAAACTATGCAATAGGCCTGCGTCAATAACTGCCGAAGTACAGATGGGATGGGATGCCTATCCTCATTAAATTGATTTGGGCCAAAATACACTTCCCCAACACAACCTCATCAGATTTTCAAGTGAAATCAATTCTGAACCCGGCCCGATACATGTGGGTTTGGGCCAATTGCTGAATGTTCATAAATCACGAACCTAATTTTTTCTTCTGCAAAATCATATGAATGCATTAAACTTCAAATAATTTGTGTGTTGGGTGGTATCCTGGCCATAAACTATTAAGTGCCTATAACCGCTGTCACCTAAGAAGATATTGAATGCTTTCAATTCAGTAAATTGAAGGCAAGCCTTGGTGCAATGAAATAGTTGTTCTTTTGTGTTCAAAATATTACGTGTTCGAATTGTGGTGTTTGCAAAGCAAGAGTAAAGTTGTGTTCGATAGAAGTTCCTCCTCCTCTGACCCTTGCAAACGAAAGTCTTGTTGGCTCGAGGTTACTCTTTATTCAATTCAGTCTATTAATGTTTGCATGATGTGTATTGATAGAGAAATAATTATATGAAATGAGTCGTATATGGTAGTGTCCCATGCCATATTCAAAAACATGTGTTAGTTTCTCTTTACATATATTTATATTATTAAAACAACATGCTATCACGATGGTACACTTGTGTTATACAAGTTGATCTCGCATTGATTACTCCATCTACCGCATTTTTGCCTGTCCGGGCAACCCTATCCTGCTTCGCCATGATGGACAATGGTTTGAACTTTGAAGGTCTCTTTATTAGTACCGGTGGCAGCGACAGAACGGTGTTGCCATTTTGACACGTAGTATTAGCTTATTAGGCATACAACTGACCATTGCATGCTAAGCCCATAAATTCGGGAAACTAACTTATGAATGCTTGGAGTGGGTGAGGAATTAATTTTCTATTCGCTTTCAAACTTTTCATGTTCATCGTCTTCTCTCTTCTCCATATCTATCTCTTCAGCCTCATAATTGTAGGATCCGAAGAGTACGGATGAAAGGGACCCGAAAAGAATCCCAATCCGTTGGTAGGATCCGAAGAGTACTGATGGATTTTTTTCGAATCAACTATCTTTGAAATCTGAAAAGAGCTTGCATGTAATTAGAATGTTATATTTTTTTGTTTTGGCTGGAAAGTTTCATTTTTTTTCTGGCGATTGAAGCTTCAACATGCATAGTAAGGTAGGATGTTTAGTTCCAAGTTCATTCATCAATAATTTATGGAATAAATAGGTTGTTTGTAAGATGAATTAATACTTTGAAGTTAAATTAGGGTTTGTGGAATAAATTTTGGGTTTTGACGTGCTACGAAACTGGGATAGAACAATTTGTGGTTCCAGTGTCCAATTGTAGAAATTTGTGAATTTTTTCTATAATGTGCATCTGATGTGCATGGCTACATCTTAATATGAGAAGCGGGAATGTTCACTAGTTATGATGCACGAATGTTGTGCCCTAAAATTTAGCGAGTATGACCACAACCTAGTTGGCCTCGACGAAAAACTAAATTAAGAAAAAGCTTAGAGGATGTTAAGGATCGTGCGTGTCCATAAAATAACGAGAGGTCTTAGGTTCGAATCTCGTGGATTATGAATTCAATATCAAATTAAATTGTCCATTATGTGGTTTAACCGAACTTCCCAATCTTTAGTGTAAAAATATAGAGGTACTAAAAAAAATTCTTATAATACAACTAAAATAGTTAATTTTTTAAATCTATTTAATAAATAAAAATGATGAGTGAAAAAAGCACATTTAAAAAAAAAAACAAATAGAAAAGATAGCTCACATTTTTAGAATTTGATCTGAAAAGCTAATTTCCTATTCATTTTCATCCATATATATACCCACAAAACCAGACCAAGCACAAAAGAGAAGATAAACAGAGACCAAGAAACACTATCGACCAAAAAAGAAAAAACAAGAAACACACTGAGTGTCAACAATGGAGAACATCGAGCACACGACGGTGCCCACAAACGGCATAAACATGCACGTCGCTTCAATCGGAACGGGCCCACCGGTGCTCTTCCTCCACGGATTCCCGGAGCTCTGGTACTCCTGGCGCCACCAGCTCCTCTCTCTCTCTTCCTTGGGATACCGCTGCATAGCCCCCGACCTCCGAGGTTTCGGTGACACCGACGCGCCACCGTCTCCGACGTCCTACACGGCCATGCACATAGTCGGCGACCTCATCGGGCTGCTTGACCATCTGGGTATTGACCAAGTCTTCCTGGTCGCCCATGACTGGGGTGCCGTCATGGCCTGGTGGTTCTGCCTGTTCCGGCCCGACCGTGTCAAGGCCTTGGTCAACATGAGCGTGGCTTTCAGTCCCAGGAACCCTAAAAGAAAGCCTATCGATACTTTCAGGGCACTGTTTGGCGACGATTACTACATTTGCAGGTTTCAGGTAATCAGATTCCTTTAACTTTTAGTTTCTTCTTCGTCCTGATCTGGAAATTTAAACCCTTTTGCGAATTATTGTAATACAATATATTTGCACACTAAGACGCAGGATTTGGACTAAGTTACACATCAGCTATCTAACTCGTGGGAGTCAAACCTCATACCTCCCACGAAGTGGATCCAGCATTCGAATTCTTAGGTCCCAGTGTTAAAAGTACAAGTTAGGAATTTCGTCCAAGACTTGGCGAATTTGTTGTTGTCAACCAAATCATGTACCGCACATGTCAACAGATACGACATATCAACATATGGTGAAACAATTTGATGATTGATATTTACAGAATTTGTGCCCAACCTGTTGGAATATGGTTAGCAAACATTACGTCACAAACATTTGGTCGGCACAAAAAAAAACCATACCAAATATTCGATATTCTCGGAAGACTTCACATGTATCACATGTATATTTTTCAACTCCGGCAGTCCTGGGACCACCTTGGTCCTTTTGTCCATCTGCCCTGCTCTCGCTTACAGGCGGAGGGAATCCCACCGACCGTAGTGCATAGTAACAAATCTTTCCAATTTCCCTTTTTTTCTCTACACAAAAGAGGAAGTTCTGTTATTTTGGCTGTTTTTGGTTTATCACTTTCCAATGTGAGGGCTTAAACATAGTAAAGTTCTAAAATTGTTTGATTTCATACGGAGATAGTCAAATCTCAATATTTACCAAGATGGTATAACTTTCATGGAATATACATTTTACTATAGTTAGTATTGCTCAGGCATTCAGAATTACTGAATGCTATTGTTTAGCTATATAATTTTGGTTTTGCAGACACGGGCATAGCCACATTTGGCCATAGCGGATGTGATCCCCCTTCCCGTGGTTTAGATTACTCTAAAGTAGAAGATCGATTGATCATAGCCAATTCATTTTCATGTTATGGAGTATTTTCAATGCTGAAAATTCGTCAGCTAAAGACAGTTGGAGATTAATTAACCTGACCCATTTGGGACTAATTTGTAACCTTGTTAATGTCAAGGACTGAATATGTTCAAGTTTGTTACTTCCTGATTTTGTTGCGGCATCGCTCTTGTTACTCAAATGCTTATTTTAACTTATAAATTGAAAAAAAAAAATTGTTGTTTGTGTTATAGGAACCGGGAGAGATCGAACAAGATTTCGATAGCATTGATACTGCAGCGGTCATGAAACGTTTTCTCACCGGCCGCAGTCCAAAGCCTCCATGCATACCAAAGGACCAAGGATTAAAATCTTGGGCAGCTCCAGTGACCTTGCCCGCTTGGCTGACCGAAGAGGACGTTAACTATTTTGCCAGCAAGTTCAGCAAGACAGGATTTACTGGGGGATTGAACTACTATCGAGCTTTGAACTTGTATGTACAATTGTACATACCCTTGTGAATTCGTTTCGATTTATCAAAAGCATGGTTCTTTCTTAAGATTGAAGAAGTAATTTTGTACTTTGTTCGTTGGTTGTTGCAGAACCTGGGAGCTTACTGGACCATGGACGGGGCTACAAATCAAGGTACCGGTTAAGTTTATCGTGGGGGACCTGGACATCACCTATCATATTCCAGGTATCCAGAACTACATACATAAAGGTGGGTTCAAGAGAGATGTGGCGTTTCTGCAAGAGGTGGTTGTGATGGAAGATGCAGCTCACTTCATTAACCAGGAAAAGCCAGACGAAGTCAGTCAGCATGTCTACGACTTCATCAAGAAGTTCTGATTTCCATTAACTAGATGAGCACGCCAGCGTCCTTTAGTTTGTTTCTCTTTGCAGTTGAAGAGTTTCTTCTACGCCCTTACAGGTTAGGGTGATGATGTCTGAAATTAGTTGTGTTTGAGGTTTTCGTCCTTCGGGTTTGCCTGTTCTGTAATTGTCACCCCAATCATGTAATAATATGCAGAGCTTGTTCTGTCTTTCGATTATGCTGGTGGCCTCATTTCTCTGTTACACCAGGACCAAGTAATTGGACTACTACTTGCACCTAACCTCGCCTCGTTCGAAGCGATTAGAGAGAACCTAGCCCCCGATAGCAAGATGCCAATCTTTATCACAAAAAGATGAACTAGAGCGCTTAGCACCATGATTCGTAAACTGTCCGAGGCTCATGAGATGGTAAAACTATTCGGTTGGAACTTGGAAGAATGCTTTGGCAGGGAGGCATAACTAGTAGTGGAGATGATTCTAACAGACTTCTTACCGATCCTAAGAGCAACTCCAGCAGGAGCTGGAGCCCGATGGACCGGCGACTTTGATGACCCAATAGCCCCAACTACCTTCTTCAGTCCATGCGCGCAATTGGGCAAGGGGGGCCCGAGTGAGAGGCTCAATTCAAATTGGTGGCCCGAGAGCCTAAGGCCATATGATGCATGGCTAACGTCAGAATGACGTCGGCCATATTATAAATTAATAAAAAATGAAAAAAAACAATAAAAAATGAAAAAAATTAATAAAAATTTTAAAAAATATAAACAATTAAAAAAAATCCAAAATTTTAAAATTCAAAAAAAAGATTTAATTTTTCTATAAATATCTTATCGTTATCTTCCACCTTACACCACAATTTTATATTTTCTCAAATACTTTGAGTTGTAATTTAGTATGTAATGAAACATGATACAACGAGACCTAATTAAAAATCATATCCGAAATTTGAAATAAAATTATTTTTTATTATTTTATAAAATAAAAAATACTAATTTTATTGCATATTGACATGGCTATTCGGTTTAGAGGTGAAAATGTAAAAAGCAATTACTGTTCGTTAAAGGTAGTTACTATTCACTGAAGTCTGAAAGCTATTCAATAGGAAGTTGCCCTAGCCCTAGGAGGCCTTGATACGCTGAAGTTGCTCTAAGAGTTCCGCACCGCCCTGTCACGGCAGTAGCTGCAGATTTCAGCTCCTTCAGCCCCTTTCTAGGATACGATGAATCAGAATTCGTCATCTTTGTCCGCGAAAGGGGGGGCAAGGTGGGATCTAATTCGCACCAGAGGCTCTTTTTTCATTTCGACGCAGCCTTTTAACAGGCATCGCATAAGTTGGTTAGATTTGTCAAAGATTACGGAAAAAAATTCACCGATCAACCCAAGCTTGCTTCGCGAAAAATATTAAGATCACGTGTAGTTGAGAACCAAAATCGAATTCAACAAAATCTTAACATATAGCATACATTCCTTAAAGTAGCCATTAATCCTTCAAACATCTAAAGATCTTCCTCTCGAAGCTAAAACAGTAGTAGGGAATAACGAAATACAGATGAAGGTAAGCTATAGATAACATAAGAGTTCCACCAAAAACACAAAGTGAAGAAAGCAAGACTGAAAATAGGGAGATAACTCCTTTTGCAAAGCTTAAACACGGAAGCCCTTGCTGTTTCTCTTTCCTCGGGCCTTCTCGAACTTCCTGCCCTTTGATCGCACATAGGGTTTGGTGTGGCTGTGTGGAACACCAGGAGCAGGTCCAAAATGCTTCACAGCTTCACGAGCATTCTTAGGTCCTCTAAGAAGAATCTGCCGAAAAATATTAACGTTTATCAATCACCGGAACTCTTTTATTCACAAATTCCTTTACAAAAAATGATCAATAGAAACAGATTTATTAGAACATAGAATGGCGTAAAGGAATGAGTCTCGTATTGCAAAATACTCTTGTAGATTTGTAATGTTATTTTACAATGGAACAAACTCGAAAGTTCCACAAGCATACAATAAAAAGAAGAACTAAGTATTGCTGATGGCTCTTAATTCTACCCACCACTATCTTGTACCTTCTATTCATTTCACTACGTAATGGTTCCTACATCCAGCAGCACGTAGTTCATGATTCTCATCACCATGAAACAGTCAACTACATGACAACCACTAAACTAAATCCATATAAACTATCTACCACGCTACGGTTGCCATCATAGCATATCGCACACCAATACCGAACCGACCCAAAACCCAAACGCAACCATTTCTATGAACCCAGTATAATTACCACAGGTTTTAAACATTTGCCCCATTCTTCGATTTTAAATGGCTTATGACTAAATGACTACAAGATCATGTTACTTTCCATCAGATTCTACCGTTTCGCAAGTTTTCTGTGCACACTTGGGAGGCAAAAACGCATAATTGAACAATCAAACCCAACTATTATACCAACAACCAATTTAAACCAACCCACGATTTCGCATGTCATTTCGATAACTAAAGACAGCCTCCTAACATTGCAATTCACATATAAGGCAAACCAAATGCAACTATCAAATCGACGTACCGTGTTCTGGCCAAGAGGAGCTCTGAGAGCCAGCTGGTCAAAAGTCAAGCACTCGCCTCCGGCCTTCTCAATCCGAGCCCTGGCGGTCTCGGTGAACCTGAGGGCGGTCACTTTCAGGCAAGGAACATCGTAAACGCGAATGTCATCGGTCACAGTCCCGACCACCACGGCAATCTTACCCTCCTTTCCGGTCATGTACTTAATCAACCGGGAAAGGGACAGAGGGGCTTTGTTCACCTTGCTCATGAACAACCTCTTCAGAATCACGGCATTGAACTTGCTGCCGGTCCTCCTCACCAGAAACCGATACAGCTGAAAACGCAGATCCAAAAACATAAATACCCATAAAATACAATTCGGAAACATAAACACAAACATTAACAAAAACCCAGAAACATTTGGATTCGAGGGAGGACCTTGACGAGGAGTTTGAGGTAGATATCATCGGACTTTGGGGCTGTCCGTTTGGTCTTCTTGCTCTTGCCACCGGCGACCAAATCGATACCCTGCGAATACAGACACGAGGAGGAGAGAGATAGTCAGAGAGAGTGAGAGAGTGGAGGAGGAGAAAATGGAGACGGCGGTGTTAGGGTTTGGAGGAAGAGATTACCATTGCGGCTGCTGCTTTGATGCTCTTGAGGCACAGAGGCGGGGTGTAGGGTTTATTTGCAGGGAAAGCCAAACTTGGTCTTTTCTTTAGGTTTTTATATATAAAATGGGGCTTTTTCTAAGCAGTTTTAAGGGGTTTGGGCTTTTTGTTTCTCTTGTTCTTTAAGCCCACGAGACCACATGCAATAATTTCTTTTATTACTTTTGTTGACACGGAATTTTATTTCATTTTTAAATAAGAGGTTAAAAAATATGGTGAGATATTTACACATACTTTTTTTTACTTCTCACACATCCTTTTAATTTTTGGGCATTGGATTTGATGAAGTGAAGAAGGTCAATGAACAGAAATTAAAAGTAAGTGTGTGAAAAGTAAAAAATGGTGTGTAAATAGCATATCCCAAAAACATATATAAATTTTCAATAGAATGAGCTAAAGGTTCAAAAGTCAAAATTGGTCTGATTTTTCCAACAATTCATCTTCAACTAATAGATGGACTATAATTTTTTGGAGTTCTCTGGTAATTATTTGGCTAAAAGGACATCAGACTGCTCAAATTTAGCCCCCTCTTAACCCCTTTTTTGCGGTCTAACTCTTCAGTTACAATAATTGATTCAAAATTAACGGTTAAAATGTAAAAACATCCAACAATAAATTAACCAAGAAATTTAAAGTAGAAACTTAAATAAATTATTAAGGAGCTTCAGTTGGAGATAATATATGAATATGGTTTGACACTGTTAATTTCAAATTTTTTTGCGTCACCTAGTACTACGGTCAAGTGGTATTTAGGGTTTAGGAAAATTTGAATCACATTATTGCGTCACCTACTATACAGTCAAGTGGTATTTCTCTTTACTCGTAAGTAGATTTTAGATTTGATTCTCGTTAAAGGAAAATTTGAACCACATTATTGCTAGTTCTCGTGAGGCTAAGTCCACTCCTCCTTTTTCATGTGAATAATATCATTTGTTTAAAAAAAAAAATTGCAGTTAAAATCCTGAACATCGTTATATTTAATATGTTAGATTAGAGATGGCCTAATTTTCTCATCAACCTCCCTCTGGTCATGGGAGCATGATTTTCTTCCCTTCTATTCTTATCTCATTTCCTCTCGTCCTCTCACATTTTACATTTTATCTCTATAAACATATCAATATAAAATATTAATATGATTTAATCGTAACTATAGAAGAAAAAAAAAAAAAAAAAAGAGGAGGGAGGCTCCAGTCATGACCGGTCCACTCTTACCACCCGAGTCGTCAGACACTGCTCTGTCAGAACCGCCGTTGAATTTTACTATCTTCCTAATTACGAAAGTACCCACAACAAGCAATCAACCACCAGCACCTACTACCTTCAATCTCCACATAATATTTCCCTGGTTAGGGGTGGCATTTCCGTCAAACAACGAAAAATCCCCAAATGTCCAAATAACTACCCCACTCTCTCCCTCTTCCATTTTTCCTAAATCCTCTCCCCGCCCTGTTCTCTCACATCGCCACGATGCAGCACACGAAATCTCGGCGGAAAGTGGCTCCGTCCGCTGCGGAAAACGGCGACTCTGCTGAAAAACTCGACCAGCTGCTCCTCTCCTCCGCCATCTGCAACGGCGAGGATGTGGGCCCATTCGTCCGGAAGGCCTTTACTTCCGGGAAGCCCGAGACGCTGCTCCAGCACCTCCGCCACTTTTCCCGCTCCAAGGAGTCCGAAATCGAGGAGGTCTGCAAGGCCCACTACCAAGACTTCATCCTCGCCGTGGACGACCTCCGATCTCTCCTCTCCGACGTCGATTCCCTCAAATCTTCCCTCTCCGATTCCAACGCCAATCTCCAGTCCGTCGGCCTCCCTCTTCTTTCCTCCCTCGACGCCTTCGTCGAAGCCCGAAACGTTTCCCGAAACGTCAACCTCGCGCTTGAATCGGTCCGAAACTGTAGTCGTTTGTTGGAGCTCTGCTCCCGATCCAATCACCATCTTTCCAACAGCAACTTTTACATGGCGCTCAAGTGCGTCGACACAATCGAGTCCGAGTTCCTGGTCAAAACGCCATCGTCTACGCTGAAGCGGATGCTGGAGAAGAAGATTCCAGATATTCGGTTGCACATCGAACGGAAAGTCAGCAAGCAGTTCGGCGATTGGCTGGTGGAGATCCGCGTGGTGAGTCGGAACCTGGGTCAATTGGCGATCGGTCAAGCTTCATCGGCGAGGCAACGGGAAGAGGATCTGAGAATCAAGCAGCGGCAAGCGGAGGAGCAGAGCCGCCTCAGCCTCAGAGACTGTGTGTACGCTTTGGAGGAAGAGGACGACGACGGACTCGGCGGCGGTGGGGTTGGAGATGACGGTTTGAATGGCGGAGGTGGATTTGATTTGACTCCCTTGTACAGAGCTTATCATATACACCAGACTCTAGGGCTTGAAGACCGATTCAAGCAGTATTACTACGAGAATCGAAAGCTTCAGCTCACTTCCGACTTTCAGGTATCTTCCATGACTCCGTTTCTTGAATCGCATCAAACTTTCTTTGCCCAAATCGCCGGATTTTTCATCGTTGAGGATCGAATTGTGAGGACCGGTGGCGGTTTGGTATCGAAAATGGAGGTTGAGAATTTGTGGGAAACTGCTGTGAGTAAAATGTGTGCTGTTTTAGAGGATCAGTTTTCTAGGATGCAAACTGCCAACCATTTGTTGTTGATTAAGGACTATGTGAGCCTGTTAGGTGTAACATTGCGTCGCTACGGATATTTGGTTGACCCCTTGCTTGATGTTCTGAGCAAACATAGGGATAAGTACCATGAGCTCTTGTTGTCAGATTGTCGTAAACAGATTGCTGAAGCGCTTTCCGCTGATAAATTCGATCAGATGTTGATGAAGAAAGAGTATGAGTATTCCATGAATGTGCTTTCGTTTCAGATACAGACGTCTGATATCATACCGGCTTTTCCTTACGTTGCACCATTTAGTTCGACAGTGCCTGATTGTTGCCGCATTGTAAGGTCTTTTATTGAAGATTCTGTGAGTTTCATGTCGTATGGCGGGCAGCTTGATTTCTTTGATGTTGTGAAGAAGTATTTAGATAGGCTGTTAAGTGAGGATTTGGATGGGGCTCTTTTGAAGTTTATCAGTACGTCTATCCATGGGGTCTCCCAGGCAATGCAGGTGGCGGCTAATATGGCTGTCATGGAGCGGGCTTGCGATTTCTTCTTCCGACATGCTGCTCAGCTTTCTGGTGTTCCCTTGAGAATGGTGGAGAGAGGGAGGAGGCAGTTTCCTCTATGCAAAGCCCGTGATGCAGCCGAAGACACACTCTCTGGGTTGCTTAAACAAAAAGTGGATGGCTTCATGATGTTGATTGAGAATGTGAACTGGATGGCTGATGAGCCTTTACCGAATGGGAATGAATATGTGAATGAGGTGATCATATATTTGGAAACTCTGGTTTCCACTGCTCAGCAAATATTGCCTCCTCAGGTTCTCAAACGAGTTTTGCAGGATGTCCTTTCTCACATATCGGAGAAGATAATCGGGGCTTTACTTGGGGACACAGTTAAGAGGTTTACCGTACAAGCAATTATGAGCATTGATGTAGATATTCGATTGTTGGAATCTTTTGCAGATAATCAAGCTCCTCTACTCTCAGATGAGGAAGCAAATCAGTTGAAAACGGCAGTTGCTGAGTCAAGGCAATTAGTTAATTTACTCTTGAGCAATCATCCAGAGAATTTTCTTAATCCGGTAATCAGGGAGAGGAGTTACTATACCTTGGACCACAGAAAAGTAGTGCTTATTTCAGAAAAGTTGAGGGATCCTTCAGAGCGGCTATTTGGAACCTTTAGTAGCCGGGGAGGCAGGCAGAACCCGAAGAAGAAATCTCTAGATACATTGATTAAAAGACTCAAGGATGTGAGTTGATTTTTTTATATAGTTGTACGTATGATCCTTGTCCTTCCCCCCTCCCCTATAAGTTCCCTTATTGATTGTGATTGGAATTATTTCATAGCGTTTTTGTTCCTAACTTTGGGCTCGTTTGGATGTGCTTTTAAAATGACTGAAAGCGCTTTTAGAGAAAATGTTTTTGGGTTCTAAAAGCACTTAAAGTGTTTTTTGCAAGAAGTACTAGTAATGTGCGTTTTCAAGATTTACTTGCATCTTTACTTAAGATTGGCTCTAAAAACATTTTTCCTAAAAGCGCCTTCAGTCATTTTAAAAGTACATCCAAATTATTTGCGGATGCAAATTGTGGTCTTCGGAATGTATCACGGGACATGCAAATAGATTCTTCTGTATGTATCAGGTTCATAGTTACTCATTGATTATTGTATTGATGATTTATTTTTCTGGACGTGGTTTAAGATTTGCCTTATATCTCTGAAAATTGAAATCAGTCGGGGCGGACAACAAGCAATACCGTCGAGTAACTGTTCTACTTACCATCGGAGCCATTCTCGTTTATCTTTTAAACTGATACAGTTCTGTTTCCGTGCTTACATTTGAGATGATTTTTTTTGTTGGAGTGAGGATCGGTTGGTAATGTTATTGAATCTGTCTTACATCAAGATTTTCTTCCTGCACATATCATATGCAGATGGCATAATTTCTCAAAGGACGAGTGTTTTGAGGTGTTGGAAGATCCAGCAACAGTGATAACTTTTGTCACGGTAAAAATAATAAGTGGGCTGCTTCTGGTTTCTATGGGGATTGTTCTGAGGATCAGAAGTGAGTCCATCTATTCGCAAATAACCATTTTTTGGCCCATCTAACTAGATTTTCGAAGCTTACGTGGTGAGGGTGCTTTTATTGCACCGAATTATCTCGGACTAAACTAATTTCAAGGACTAAGCTGAATTGACTTGGCATGTACAAGAATTGTGAAAGTTTGCTGCGACGCCAGAATAAGAGCTTGTTAGGATGCACTTTTAAAATGATTAAAAACGCATTTAGTGGAAATATTTTGAGAAACATTTCTTAGTAAAAATGCCAATTAATCTTGAAAAAGCTCTTAAAGTGTTTCCTGGAATAAACACATAACTGATGTTTCTTGTAGAAAGCACTTCACGAGTTTAAGTGCTTTTGAAATCTAAAAATATTTTTTTAAAAGCACTTTCAGTCATTTTAAAAGTACATTCAAACGAACTCTAAAAAGATGGACAATAAAAACATTCATTTTGTTTTATTATTAAATTGTTCTTTTGTAGTTATTCCAATTTCTAAAAACCTAATTAATTATCGAAAGGGTTGTGCTATCTACCCATGCATTTTTACTTATTCCTCTTCTTCGTTTTTTTGTCGGATCGATTGAATTAAAAAATAAAAATTAATGGCAAAAAACTAACAAGAGTCCATGGAAGAGGTAAAAACAAATGTGAATAGCAGAATCACTGTCAAAAACATTGTTTGACCATCTATTAATTTACTTTTGCCTTTAAAAAAATTAAAAAGTAAGAAAATAATAAATTAACATCAGTCATCAACCTTTCTTCCTCGCAGAGAGATGCGAAATCATGTCCATCAAACAAGAAAGACCATTGTTTCTTTCTCAAAGCCGTTCTTCTTCTTCGGGAAGCAAAACTCAAGGAAATAAGAAATTACTGTGGAACAAATGGGAGCGAACCTAACAAATTAATCAAACCCAAAGTCATAAATTGAATTGAACAACATGTATGAAGAGTTTCAAATTTGGGTGTCGCCGGCTCACAGTCCGACCTGGTTCTTCAGGAGATCGACGAAACGGCGATGTAGGAGTCGGCGGCAGGGAGCTACGAAGAACGATGCTTTCTGCGAGAGCGAGAGCCTGAAGTAGTAAGCGTCGATAGCTAGTACCACACGTTCACTCAGGATTAGATAATGCAACTTAGCGAGGCGTTTAGTTGACATCAGTGCCATTTTAGTTGATCTTTTGATCGTCTGATGGGTCAACGGCGTTACCAATGAGATACTTCGAATAAACCAGAGTACATATAGGATACACCGATGCTGAAACGAGTTTAATTTACAACTTCGAAGGCAATTTTTATCTCCAACGTCGTCATTCTCTCTCCCTTCATTGATGAATTGACTGATAAGCAAGCATTATGTGTGAGGATTCGCCAATCACTATCTGCTGACAACCATGCATGCGTCTGCATGAATGTTACACTAGTAACTTCCAATATTATTCAGGATGTATCTGATCAAGATACCTCCGACCAACGAGAAAGTCTTTGGTTTAAACGCCACATGGTGACTAAAGACACGGTGGGTGGGGCCAGAATACGGGGATACAGGAGGTGAGCGTTGGTGAGATTGTTAGTGTGTTGGTCGTACAGATGATGTGGTTCAAGAATAGACCTAAACCATTGATTAGAATGGTCACTCAACATCGACATATACACGTCCCGTCTGTTCCCATAGCTCACTTCTTCTACTAAACCAAATAGCTGCAAGAAAGCTTCAAGTTGGAACTCATGGGTCCATCAATGGTGTTTCTCGTTGCCGTTCTCATGGCCATTCTCTCATCCTCATTCGCCTATGGCGACAACAACCCATCGGCATACGCGGTGCTCCAAGAATACGACTTCCCGATCGGCCTTCTTCCCAAAGGAGTAACAGGGTACGAATTAGACAAAGAATCTGGAAATTTCAAGGCTTATTTTGACGGAACTTGCCGCTTCTCCATTGAAAATTCATACAACCTCAGGTACAAATCCACCATAACTGGTGTTTTGTCCAAGGGCAGGCTCAAAAATTTGGATGGCGTCAGTGTTAAGATACTATTATTTTGGCTCAACATTGTCGAAGTTATTCGCGATGGCGACGACCTACAATTCTCTGTGGGGATTGCTTCAGCAGACTTTTCCATTGACAACTTTGAGGAGAGTCCGCAGTGTGGGTGTGGATTTGCTTGTAAGAGTAGAGCTAGCTCTACAAGTAGAACTGCGCTGACCTAGATCCAACCTAGCATAAAAAAAAAAAAAAGAGTCAACAAAGCAGGAATTATATTTGTGGCAAACTAGCAAGCTGGACATCTCCCAGTAGTATCTGGTTGAAAGACTTGTCAAAGCTGCGTGTCTCGATCCATACATTCTCCGCGTAAGAGTAGGGCTAGCTCTACGTATATATATCGTTAATTAGCCGTAAATTGTTTAGCATGCTTTAAAGAATGTTCATATTCAGCTTTAATGCTTTAATTCTTGTATACGTAATAACCAATTAGTCTACGAGAATAAGAGAACTGTAGCTCAAATAGTTAATAGTGTTTTCTCTAGCATTTGAGGTTTTGTGTTCGAATCTTGTCTCCAAATATTGCTTATCAAAATAAAAATTTAGCCTATGAGAGAGTGGCGCTTTCTTGTATGCAAATAATGTTCAAAAGAATTAGATGGAATATTCTCGGTTTTGCCCTTCAAATTTTCTCTATATATTCCAACTACCATTAGAGACTGCATAACCAAACAGTCAAAACACTTGATCGAACCATGTCTCCAAAGGCAACACTGCTACCAAGCCTAATTCTCTTCTTTCTGCTCTCTTTCTCGATCCCCACGCCCTTCGCCGCCGACGAGCTGACGGTTTACGAAGTCCTCGAGGAGTACGACTTCCCGGTGGGTATTCTCCCCAAAGGCGTAGTGAGCTACGAGCTGGACACCTCCACAGGTAAGTTCTCAGTCTACTTGAACAGCACTTGTACATTTACCATCGACTCGTATAAGCTGAAGTACAAGTCCACCATAACGGGTGTTATAACCACTGACAAGATCTCTAGCTTGAGTGGCATCCAAGTTAGGGTGCTCTTTCTGTGGCTGAGCATTGTCTCCGTGACTCGTAACGACGATGAGCTAGAATTCTCGGTCGGCATCGCCTCCGCAAACTTTCCGGTGAGTAATTTCTATGAAAGTCCGACCTGTGGTTGTGGTTTCGACTGTGTGAATGGGAAAAGAATGATTAAGAATTTGGTGTCTGCTCTTTTAGGTCAGTCTTTAGCTTTCTAGTGCCAAAATGTGGGTTTGGGCAATGATGTTGTTGGATCAAAATTAAGATTAAATATGATTTGAGAATAAATATATGTATGACTATGTCACTTGTTCCTGAATGTTTACTTGCTTCTCTGTATGATTTATGAAACTCCGATCTGGAGGCCGCCAAGGTTATGAACTTGAGTATACCAGTTTGAATGGTTGTTGCAAAACATTTTGGCTTGCAGACTTATAGGTTTAGCAATTGAGGCCAAAAGGTGGGGTGGAGATCTTCTCCGGATCCTCTTTGTAAGGATCTTGGGAATCTTCAAATTGTGTTCATTTATCGTACATCTTACGGTCAGAAATCATTTTAAATACTTTTACCTGACAAAAACTAGCTCCACGATGTACGATAAACGGACACGATTTGAGGATTCTCATGATCCTCACAAAGAGACTCTAGAAAGCATCCTTGTTCAAAAAGGTAAAAAGAAAAAAAGAAAGGAAGAAAAAGGCTGATTATCAACATGCATAAAAAGTGGATGTTAGCTTATTCAAAAAGGTCAAAAGAAAAAAAGAAAGGAAGAAAAAGGCTAATTATCAACATGCATAAAAAGTGGATGTAAGCTTCTTACACTACTTTGTTTATGGTTGTTGTATTGAATAATCAAGAATAATGGTATTTACATTTTTTTTTTGACCTTTTATATACCTTTTAATTTACAATAGTCCGGTCAAATTAGTTGAAGAAGATTAAAAAATTAAAATTAATAAGGTGTGAATAGTAAAAATGAGAATGTGTAGATAGTATCACTCTGAATTAATCGAAAACAACGATAATAAAACATAAGAGTGCGTGATACACAAAAGAATGTGTATTTATTATTTTTCATGTTGAATTATTTGGATTCCTAATTCCTATGTGTTCTTTTAGTATTTATATAATTAAGAAGAGAAAAATTAAGAAATATGTAATACTTGAAAGAAAAATAGATTATCTCTTGATAAAAAATTTGATTCTTAAATTTCATGTGTTTATTAAAATACCAATATTATTATATTTCACTTAATAAATTTTATACAACGCATATCAAATCCGAAAAAACATAAAATTCTCTCTTAAATATGTAAATCTTGTTTCCTATATTGAAAATCAGATGGTTGGTCCACAGTTTACTTTCCTTGATTATTAAATAGGAGAAGAGTGGGAAAAACGTACGAAGGTTCTCTCCAGATTCATTTTATAAAAGTTTTGAAAATTCTTTAATTATAATTGTATTACGTGCAGTCAGAAATTATTTTAAAATTTTTATTTAAAATTAAACATAAATAATATTTGACAAATATTAATCGTATAATATACAATAAATAAACACAATTAAAAAATTTTCTAAATCTTAACAAAGAAAATTCCAACAAGATTTTCATTCCTGAAAAAACAAGGTCAGAGAATCCTTAGCGCGTCTTTCTTGTCGCCGCAAAAGTCACCACGTGCTTGGAAAATGCAGCACCACGTGCCCACTTTCTACGTCGTCGTTTCAACCAAGCAAATTTATCTTGTCCACGGCTGTCAGTCAACCCACCTAACCGACTCTCTGTGCCAAACAAAACTATTTTCCCGGAAAAACAAAACAACAAAACAACAAAACAAAAAATTTCGGTGAGAAAAAAAAAATAAAAAAAATCATGTCTCTCGCAACAATTCTCGCCGTCTTCGTCCTCCTATCGCCGTTCTCCACGTCATCAACCGCCTCCTCCAACGGCGACGGCTCGCGGTCTGTGTACGATGCAATCCAAGACTTCAACTTTCCGATGGGTCTGCTCCCGAAGGGCGTCACCGGATACGAGCTCGACAATGGCAACGGCCGATTCCGCGCGTATTTGAACGGCTCCTGCAGCTTCTCGCTGGAAGGCTCGTACCAGCTCAAGTACAAATCCACCATTACCGGCACAATCTCCCCGAACAAGCTCGCCTCGCTGACCGGGGTCAGCGTCAAGGTCCTGTTCCTGTGGCTCGACATCGTTGAGGTCACCCGTAGCGGCGACAACCTCGAGTTCTCGGTGGGGATAGCGTCGGCGGCGTTTCCGATCGACAATTTTTACGAGTGCCCGCAGTGCGGGTGCGGGTTGGATTGCGTCAATGGCGGACAAGTAAGGAAGATTAAAATGCCTCTTGTTTCTTCGATTTGAATTGATAATTGGGGCTGTAGAGGAGGGAGGATTTTAGGGGTTTGGAATTACGGGTAGTGTTCAGTGTTCGTTCGCACCTTGATTTCTTAAAGATTATGAATTTTATGCTTTTCAATAATTTTCGTTTATGCGTTTGTGACATGTTTTGTTGTGGAAAATTAATGATTTAATGATAATGTATGTTCAATTGGCTCAAGTGAAGGAAAAAATGCAGTTATGTTTGATGCGTAACAGCTTTGTATCGATTGCGCATATGGTTTATGGTGGATTTTAGAGAGTTAAAAGCTTGTATCTTGATTGTTAGAGCTTATGCTTGATTAGTTTACCGCATAGCAGCGTTTTATCGATTGGGCAAGTGGCCGTTATGGTGGATTTTAGAGAGAAAAGCTTGTATCTTGATTGTTAGAGCCTATGTTTGATTAATTTAGGGCCTAACAGCATTGTATTGATTGCGCATATGGCGGTTATGTTGGATTTTAGAGAGTTAAAAGCTGTATCGTGATCGTTAGAGCTTATGTTTGATTAATTTACAGCATAACAGCGTCGTATAGATTGTGCATTTGGTGGTTGTGGGGGATTTTAGAGAGTTAAAAGCTTGTATCTTGATTGTTAGATCTTATGTTTGATTAATTTAGGCCATAATTGTGTTGTATAGATTTGCATATGGCGGTTATGGTGGATTTTAGAGAGTTAAAAGCTTGTATCTTGATTGTTAGATCTTATGTTTGATTAATTTAGGGCGTAATTGTGTTGTATCGGTTGCACATATGGTGGTTATGGTGGCTTTTAGAGAGTTAAAGGCTTGTATCTTGATTGTTAGAGCTTTATGCAATATGGTTTAGGCCAAAACAAGCGATACATTGCTTGTGTTGTTCTTTCCGCTTGTAAGTCTTACACTTTCATATTATTCTGGTTCAGGAGGGAACTTGTCTAGTAATCCAATTTGCATGCGTGTTCATGGGTTTTATGTTAGTAGGGAATTTTAATTCATGTTTCTTTATTGTCGTATACTCTGTGGCTAGTTTGCAAATGCGTGTTGAATAGTACCCTGCTTGAGAGTTTCATATTAGGTTTGGGTATGCATTACGGACTTAAGAGTTCGTGGGATGTACTGAGCAGATTACGGTATGTTCGCGTTTCATGCTTTTTTTTAATGTATCAGTGAAAACGGCCTTCTTTGGAGTTTAGGTGGTAACTGCGCAGGTAGAAACTGGACCTTCAGGGCTGTTGATATACCTTGGAGATTGTTATTTTGGTTAAGGAAGTTTGTAGTTTGGTTTCGGAGAACATGGAATTCAGGTTCGATACATTAAGTAAAAGTCTTTCAGTTCCGACTCTTACCACTGTTAGCTTAGCATTTGTTTTCCCTAGGTGTAAGAAACTACTTCTGCTTAGCATTTGTTTTCCCTAGCGGTTTGCAAGCTGTGTTGGAGCCTTGTCAATTGGGATATGGTTTGCCTCGCAAGGGTTTCCGTACGGTGTCCCACGGTCTTGAGCTTTAGCTAGTTTTTTCGCGTGAAATAGGTACATCCTCGAGAGATAAGTAAGTGTCGTGGCCCTGCTGCGTGAAACCGTTCTTCCGGTGTCTGTTAGTAGGGTTCGGTGATCATTTCTGCCTGTGGTTGGTGTCATTGAACAATTATATCTACGTGCCTGGTTTCTTTTTCTTTCCACACAACGGATACTTGTAATTTTGGGCAAGAATAGCAAGTCATATGAACAAGGAGCAAAAAATTGTGATTAGAATTTAGATGGTGTGTCTTTCTAGTTTGCTAGTCGTGTGGCAAACACACCCACAACTCTCTGAGAAAACTCCTCCCACCCGAATGTAGGATTATCTACGTTCTGCAAGGGAGAAAAATTTGTCTAGCTAGGACAACTCTCACATAGGTGGGACAAGCATATTATCGAGTTGTATTATGCAGGGTACAGTTTTGCGGGAGCTTTCTGATGGATGACGTGGTCTAGTTCTTTCGGTCCAATAATGTCATATATGTGTAAGTTTTTCTTCACAATGGCATGAACTTTTGAACCGGGACATTACATGGCGGTGAAGCCGTTTCATACAAGTTGTTTTGTAATGCTGGGTTAGCTCTTCGAGTGTGGATAACGTTTGACTTGGTGATTCTTCTTCATCTTCATATGTAAATTGGAAGCATTGGATTAAAAAAATAAGAAAAACTAATGAAAATAGCTTGAAAACTTTGAGTTTTAACGAAAATGACAAAAAAGTGTTATAAGTGAATAATATCAGGATTGATTTTTAAAAATAAAAATATGTTTGAGTTTTAACGAAAATGACAAAAAAGTGTTATAAATGAATAATATCAGGATTGATTTTTAAAAATAAAAATATGTTTTTTTGTTAAAATAAACAGTACCGATAGTTTTTTGTTAAAGTTCTCTAAAAAAATAATATCAACCCAGTAAATGAATCTGTCACGTCAACGTCGAAGCATATTGCTTGGCTTGGCTCTTCGTAGCAAATAAGTGGACAACTTACACGCGTCGTAAAACTCGAAAGAACCCGAGTGTATACATTAATGTATTTGCCTCTTTCCGTCATCTCCCCTTGACTAACTCAGACAAGGCAAAGACTCGACAATTCACCGCATCTAGCTGAACCGGTAGCTGGCTTTGGCCAACATAGACATTGTATTTATATATGAGGCTTCAAATTTGGCCCTACCGTAAAGTTTATAATATCTTTGGCATTGGCAAACAAGGTGACACAGTTTGATATTGATTCCCTATTCTATCTGCGCCTATAATAGTTTTGTACCTAACCTAATAATTCTCCATTATCATGATCAGATTATTTAGGGCCGCGGCGGAGCCAGTATTTATAACAATGTGGTCATAATTTGGCAAAAGTAAACCTCATCGGATCATTTCATGGGAGTCCTTAGTGGGTAGCTATCGAGTTATCTGTTCTTTTGAATTTTGTCGAGGTCTATTCAGTGACGTATTTTATCAAACACTTGTTGCAGACCATAGGTTATACAAGAAATAAGAGAGAAAAAAAAAAGACAAAGAACTAGGATGTTGAAAGTTTGTGTTTTTGACACATTCTTTCAGCTTGTAGAGAGTAATATATTATATACATTGCGATTATAAAGTTATTTGGGTTATGAGCATTTAATGATTCTGTATTGGCTCTACCACTACTCATGAGATTATTTTCTTGTGTATCAAAAGCGTTTGTGATGTATTACTTCACTTCACGTGTTAAAATAGAAGTAGACAAAAATATTAATATTTCAAACTTACGGATATATAAAAAATGTAAATATAATTTAAGTAAGAACATTACTTAGTTACTCAACGATGAGTAAAAACTTCTACTAAAAATGTTTAGTATTTGAATCACAGAGTTTTGTGCATATAATCAAAACCGTTCATATTATCAATCAAACTGTAAAGATCATCTTTGCAAAAAATAGAGTAAAAAAACTAAGGAAAACTAACGAAAAGTCCAAAAAAATTTTCCTTTTGATGAAAAGCCTTTTTTAAAGGTATAGTAAATAGTACCAGGAAAATGTATAAATGTGGTCTTTCGTTAAAAGTGAACAATACCGAAAGTGTTTTGTTAAAACTCCCTTAAAACTAAGATCGTTTAGACCCTGTATTAAAAAGATAATGTGAACTAAAAATCTCCCTACAAGCAAAAACCACTAATTGTCGCCCGTAATTGAACAGTAGCAAATCCATTCCCTTATTCTTTACGCACTTACCAACCATTTTGAAGAATTTTATTAGTGGGTCTTGCTTTTGATAGTTGGCCAACTTTTCAGCGCCATTGACATTTTTTTATGAAAAATTTAACAAAAAATATTCGGTATTGTTTACATTAACAAAAAATTATATTTTTACACTAAAAAGTTAATTATATACTATTTATTTTACTTTTTATTTTATCCTTATCGTTAAAATTCAAAGTTTTTAAGTCATTTTCATTATTTTCTTTTTTTTAATTGGTTAGACTTGGCCCTGCTGCCGGCACATGATAACACACCTGGCGGCCGTAGAAGGTGCCGCCTGATATTTGGCCGGTGGTTGCGTAGCTGATCGACCGGCACTCCCGAACAATCATTTCCCACCACAATCATTGCTTTATATAGACTAAACTATATAGAATTAACTAAGAGCATTTAGTGTGCAACTTAATCAACTCCTTAATTATGTGGTGCGAGATACCTTCAAATTTATATTACGTGTACGCATCAACCCTACTTGCATATGCTTATTGACATGCACTTGACTCTAATAGTCTAATTCATGACTTTTTAAAGTTTTAGTATTGAAATTTTGATTATTACTTTTTAATGCGTCTATTAGATCGAAAATATATCAGTTTTACTTTTACGTCAATACGTGATCAAATGCTTGAAAAATTAGAGATTAAATTCATAGTAGGATTACTTGATCTGCTCATTCCAAATCAAAACTAATTCTGATTTCTCTAACAAATTTGCAAGACGGGCAAATTCACATCTCTTGCAACTGACATAGTCCTCTATTATTGGGAGGCAATTTGCTTCGCTTTACATCCGTCCCAAGATATTACTTCTAATACATTTGTTGGGCAGGCATACACACATTGAATACACCCTCTACACGTATTACAAATCTTTACTAAATATAGCTACATGACCTTATCTCATTTTAAATGAGTAAACATATTATTCTTTTTCTCCTCTTCTATTTGAGCAATTGTTCTCGTTGAATTAGTACCCTCATGTCCCAGTACTCTACAGGATGATACATCTTAATCAAATACCTAATTAAATATAAAAGTTCACAAACTTAAATAACCAAATAAATCATGGAGCTTTTTGGATTAACCCATAAGGAAAATATGTGTGCACCCATCCATACTTCATCCTTGTGGGACACAACACGAAATTAACAAGTATTCGGGTCGACATGATAACGAATTGAGTTGTTATCGAGTAACCCGATAAGTACCTATTAAGATAACGAGTTGGTTCGGGTATACACGTGGATAAAACGATACACGATAAGCAAAATATTAATTTTATAACCTAAAAAAATACTATAATAAATATATATTAATTTAATAATTTTATACCCCTAAAAAATATAATAATTATATATATATTAAATTAAATTAAAAAAATTGGTTGACCATTGGATCGGTTGAGATTAAATCTCAACCGTTCATTGTGCATTAGGTTGGAGGCTATCCTTCTCTTCCCTCTCATTCACTCTAATCTCTCCCGTCCAAACTTACTCCCGCGCCATCTCCTTAATCCGCATCTCTCTCGTGTCACATCCCGACCCGGGGCGGATCACTTCCCGGGCCCGCTTCCACTACCGTAGCACGATATTGTCCGCTTTGGGCTTACCATTCCCTCACGGTTTTGTTTTTGGGAACTCACGAGCAACTTCCCAGAGGGTCACCCATCCTGGGAGTGCTCTAGCCCTCTTCTCGCTTAACTTCGGAGTTCCTACGGAACCCGAAGCCAGTGAGCTCCCAAAAGGCCTCGTGCTAGGTAGGATGAGAATATACATTTAAGGATCAGTCCCCTGGGCGATGTGGGATGTTACAATCCACCCCCCTTAGGGGCCCGACGTCCTCGTCGGCACATTTCCGGCCAGGGATAGACTCTGATACCAATGTCACATCCCGACCCGAGGCGGATCACTTCCCGGGCCCGCTTCCACTACCGTAGCACGATATTGTCCACTTTGGGCTTACCATTCCCTCACGGTTTTGTTTTTGGGAACTCACGAGCAACTTTCCAGAGGGTCACCCATCCTGGGAGTGCTCTAGCCCTCTTCTCGCTTAACTTCGGAGTTCCTACGGAACCCGAAGCCAGTGAGCTCCCAAAAGGCCTCGTGCTAGGTAGGATGGGAATATACATTTAAGGATCAGTCCCCTGGGCGATGTGGGATGTTACATCTCGCATCCTCCTTCATTCACTTTCTTCAACTCGACTCCTGGAGCCACAAGAAAACCACACACAGGCAAGCACACGCTAAATGTATGAATTTTGGATTTTTGAGAAAGGCTTCACAACCTTGAAAATAAAAACTCTTTCATTTTGCATATCCTTGCACATTTAATATTTTGTAATAGACTAGTAGTATATGAATGTTTTTTTATTAGGCTCTTATTTTCGAGTGTAGATTTAGTACTTAAATGACAAATGTGTGTTTAATGTTTTGAAATAATATTTATGTGGCAATGTGTGATATGTGCAAATTTAAGAAAAAATATATATTTTTCTTAACGGGTCATAACGGGTCGTTGGGTAAAATGATCCGACTAGTTAACGACTCGTTAAGATAACGAAGTGTGACACGACACAACTCATTAAGATATCAGATATTACACGAAAACAACACGAACATGACAAACATGACCCGTTTGCCAAGCCTAGATTTTCCTGAAATTGAACGTAAATTTTCAATCTAGAACACAAATCAGTACATCATAATTGAAAAAAGGATTGAAAAATAATGAATATTTTCCGAGGACTCTTGAAAATCCTCCCCAATTCTAAGACATTCCCCACTAAGAATAAAATCTACCATTTTCTTTAAACCAAAACTAGTACAAATCACAATCACACAAAAGCATGTGCACTGACTTAAAATATTAATTAAATTAAAACGATTGATTAGAGAATTGAATAAACCTTTTATTGCAAATATAAATTAATACACGCTTAAGTCCCTAATCGGATCAGAGGACGGAGGAACCCAGCTATTACAACAAATCATACATATTTTCCGGCGAAGTCTAAACTCCGAAGAATTCAAACACAAACACGCCGACAGCCCATTCCTCGTACAATTCTCCTCGTATGTTTCCACCAGAAAAATTACAAGAATTTTGTTTTGATCTTTAATCTTATTAGTGCTTCTTCAAGAGCGCCGCGCGCAGCTCTGCGGCGTCGATCTTCTCGGCGCCGTTCTCGGGTCCGTAAACCCCGGTTTTGGGGTCGGGGACCCACGAGACCTTGAAGGTGGAGCCCACCTTTTCTTCCCCGGAATTCTTCTTCGTCATGTTCACGCTTCTGGGATTCGTAGCACCTCCTCCTCTCACCACGCTCGACGCAACTCCTTGTGAACCCACCGCATATCCACGTCTGCATTTCCATGAAAGAAACATCATTAACATTTAATTGATATAAATTTCAAGGCGTTAATCACGTTTATAAACTAATCGCTTCCGGTCACGTTACGTGGACTAACGTGCGCCGAAAGTGTTCCGCTTTAAGAAGAAAACCGAAACTAACAGCCGATTAATTACTAATTCTTCGCCGGAGAATGGTGGTGCGTGAATAATATAGGATACCATTATTAACATGGGATTTCTCCCACGGAGAGAAATTAACAACAACGAAACTTAGACGCGCATGATTAACTTAAGATGCCATCGCAAAGATATAGTTTCTCACTCTTACAAGAGATCGAAAACAACAAAACTTGGATTTGATTGTTAGAAATGGTTAGTACCTGGAGATGGTGCTAGAGAAACCGTCGACGACGAGAGCAGAGAGAAACTTAGCGTTGGAGAAAGAACGAGCCATTGTTTTTCTTTGGTAATTGAAAGAGATCGGAATCTAAACACCGCTGCAGAAAGCTTAGTAGCAGAGAAAACCTTCGCCTTCTACAGCAGCGAGAAGATACAAGAAGCTCTTTTGCTACGGCTCTTTCTTTCTCTCTCTAAAAACTCTCTGGAATTGCGAAGATGGTTTTGAGAGAGAGGGGGGGTGGGGGGAAGGTGTGTATATAGGGAGGAAAACAAGAGACGCGTGGGATCCAAAGAAACGAAAACGCTGTTAAAATGGGGCGGCGAGTTGACTAACCTGTAGTTTGTTGCCACGTGGGATCAAAGCGAAGTGCCGTTGCTATTTCGAATTTAGGAACTGAGATCGGACGGTTGAGAGGGAGTGGGGATTTGAGTGGAGGACATTTCCTTTCACCTGAGGCAACGTCAAAACGTGAGGAAAGGTCGTCGTGAGTGCGGAGTCTAGAATGTGTAGGATATTGGGGAAGAGATCCGAACCGGATCTCTCTCATCAAGGGTCAAGATCAAATGATTTGGATTGTTAAAATTTGATCTAACGACTTCAAAGATGAGGTTTTTTAAAAACTATAATAATTGTAATCGTTAAATCAAATTTTAATAGTTCAGATCACTTGATCATGAACCTTTGATGGGAAACATCCGACTGAATCTCTTCCCGGGATATTGGCCGTCGATGGCAGAAAGATTAGACACCTCACTCTAATATTTTGTGCAAATAACTATTTAATAAGTAGATTCGATTCTAGTCAAATGGAAAATTTAAATTTAAACCATATTATCATGACTGTTCCTAATTTAGCCCACTCATCCATCCTCATCGTGTAGTAAATATCATTTGTTAAAAAAAAAAATTGTGGAAATAATACAAAAATTGTAGATTATCTATATATCTATTTTTACATATGACGCACCCCTTTTTTTTTTTCAACCATCGGATCAAGAGAGTTCAAGAAGACTAATGACAAAAAATTAACAATAATGTGTGAAAATAAAAATACTTAATACGAACAGCACTATCCCATAATAGTATCTTCACTTTTATCCATATAACGTTGTATTACTACAAAAAATATCGTTGTAGCAATTTATTTGTTTTTAAAAAGTATCTCTTCGGAACACGTCACATCATATTTTATTAGTATTATTTTTAAACTAAACTAGTAAACATATAGTAAACCATATTGTTCATCTATATTAAACGGATGGATAACTATGAAATGAGAGTCCCAAGCAGAAGAAAGAAAGGGGAAGTGGTGGCGGAGTTTCCTTGCTATGTTCTGGAAGGATTTAGGCAATTTGGCCTCGTGATTTATGGAAGGGTCCAAGTCAAGGGTCTTGTTAGGGTTAGGAGTCATGACTCTCGTGATGTGATGACGAACAAAGTTCCAACTTTTGTCAAGTTTGTCTTCGTCCTTACCTATCGTTTTCTTTTTTTCTTTCCTTTAAACAGCTGTGCAAACGAAAAGGAATTAGATCGATGCAGCTGCCACCAGCAGCAAGAGCAGCAAAAGCGTCACCAGCCGCCGTGCCGTGCCGTGCATGCATCTTTCACACATTTTCTTGTTATTGCGTGTTGTGCCAAGTCACTCGTGTGCGTGGTCCTACTCCTACCGACATTAGTCATGCATCTCGTTACCGACTAATCAATGATATTTCAAATTAATCACACAAATTTGTGATGTTATTTTCACGGCTCCCTCCTACTTTCCTTCGCTGAATCATTCGGTTTCGTCGGAGACGTCCTGTCAGTCTTTCTAGAAAACCCTAGGAAATATGTATATGCATTAGTCGAAAGACAAAAAAATGTACCATTTAGTTGGTGGGATTATTTGACCATTTATTTTGTGTTTTAAATTTTTATAATTAGAAAGCAAAATATATTTATGAAAAATATAAAATAAAATCTTTACAATGTTATTTTTTCTAGATACTTCAAGAACATTTCAAAAAGGCAGGGACCATGTCCATCAATTCAACATGGTGGCACGCGATTTAATATTTCTTAATAAACTATTAGAATCTGGATAAACAACAATTTTCACTTGTATATATCCTCTCCTTTTCTATTATTCTAATACAGCCATTTCCAGCCAAGTGGATGGAACGTGTCTCTACAACGAACACAAGGGTTGGGGTTAAATTATGAGGGCAGGCAAGTGCCCCTAGCGGGAGATGTCAAGGACCCTCCACAACAATCACTTCTTTCGCCCTTGTTTTACGTAGATGGGGTGCACTAATATCGTGATGTCTTGTGTTAGTGATTGATCTAAAAGTACATATAAATTTCATCAACATAGTGTTGTTTTGTTGTCACAAAAAGTTTCGTTGTGTATTCAAGTCATGTACTCACATGTATGGGAAGGAGAAGGAAAGAGGTTACTTTTCTGTCAGTGGCATGCATTCTGTGTTGTGTCATTTTCAAGGTTTTATTGGTTGGAGTTGTATGCATATGATCAGAGACACATGAACATTCATCACAAAAGAGCACTGATGGCGTCGATCGCATATAACAATGAAACTTAACCACATACAAGCATATGTACATGAATAGTCGTGTTCTTTTTTGTGATAACTTAAGAGTTGCTTTTTAGTTTTTGTTACAACAACAACAACAACAACAAAGTCTTATTTCACTAAGTGAAGTCAGTTGTATAAATCTTACAACATTATTGAGCTCAATTTTGCATCAAGTCTTCCGTTTATTTCAACATGAACAAAATAAACACCCAAGTTTCTAATGGCTATGCTTGCACCAATGCATTGGGTTAGAAAAGATTTGGTGGCTATGAGCTATTTATATAAATTGAATTAATGTACGAAGAGTTCAAACTTAATGAGTGTTCGAAATGGAATTATTAAAGGGAAGTATTATTGGCACTACAAAAATTTTATTCTACAATTCTCAGAAGTGTATTTTTCTTTCATAATATAGAAAGTTTGGAGTGTAGAATGAGATTTTTGGAGTGCTAATAACAATTCCCTTATTAAATTGGACAACAGTTTATCTTTATCATATTGTGCCTTACAAGTCTCGTATAGATAGATGAAAATTTATCCATCTCAATCTTTTCATTTGGGTAGGAATTGATGAAAAGTTTACTCATAGGGAATGAGATTTGGAATCATTTCAATGTTTTACTTCCACGTCTTTACTAAACATGGTATTATAATCATTTTAATTACTAACTTCCCTTACATTTGCTAGCACATATTAAGTCGAAAAAAATTGTGGGCCACGCCTTAAAGTTCTTAATCCAATACTTGGAAACCCATGATTAATTCACGAATTTTCTTCAATTCATGAATTTTCTTGTTCCAATAAGTAAACATGTTGATCTGTTCTCATTTCTTTTTCTTTTCTTCAATTCATGAATTTTCTTGTTCCAATAAGTAAACATGTTGTGACAGGGATAAGTCTTATCCACAACTAATCTGTCTTCCACCTTCAAATTGAAAATTAACATCTATTTCTCCTTAAATATATATTAGATCTAGCGAGGCATCCGATTCGATTTTATCTTCATACCAAACGAGGCTTTAATTATTTGGGCCGAAAGCATCTCAACTATGGGGCCTTAAATTGCTAGTAGCAAAAAGTGAAGGCTCATTCATTGACCCAAAGTTAAATTAGGGCCCATTAATCGAGATAAATCCTTGCTAAAGGCCTGGCGCCGTGGGTGCCCGCGTAGCCGTCGAGCTCGTCAGTCAGCTAAAACCCCTTCCATCTCCACCGCAGCTTCAAAACGAAATCCGAGATCGCGAACTGAGAAAGAAGACATGGCCGAGAACAACGGCGGCGGCGGCGGCGACGGTGGCGTTGGTGGTGGTGGGGAAGTCTCGGCGAACCAGACGATCTACATCAACAACCTGAACGAGAAAATAAAGCTGGAGGAACTGAAAAAGTCGCTTCTGGCGGTGTTCTCGCAGTTCGGGAAGATTGTGGAGGTCTTGGCTTTCAAGACGCTCAAGCACAAAGGCCAAGCCTGGCTCGTCTTCGAGGACGTCTCCTCCGCCACCAAAGCCCTTCACCAAATGCAGGGCTTCCCCTTTTACGACAAGCCCATGGTATGCAATTCTAACCTAATTTTATCTAGTTGTTCAATTTAGAAATTTAATATTAGTTTGATTTTATTTTGTTATTCAAATTCCATTTGTTTTGTTATCATAGTGCAGAAAAAAGAGTATATAATTAGTTGAATTGAAATTGTAGAAAAAAGGAATTTACTTGTTGTAAAATCAAATTTGGGAAAATTTAGGCATGATCCAGCTCTGGTTATTAGTCAGTCTCGATGATGCCCGAACACGTAAACTCTACTGGCTACATGCTGTCAATGTCATAGGGACTGCGGGTGGGGAGGGGAGATTGGGAAGGTTTAGGTTAGGGCAGGTTTTCGCTGCCATTCATATGATTGTTCTTTTGCATTGTCTAGAATTTGGCCTTTTGATCGGTGAATAAGCACATTGGCATGTCATGTGATGGATGGATTATGTTACAAACAACCATTCTTTATCCTAGTTAGATGGATATAATGAATTGTGATTACCGAAAGATTTTCCCGTTGTTTAATTTGTTTTGTTTTTTGGAATCATTTTACTTATATGTGATTAATACAGAGAATACAATATGCCAAGACGAAATCGGATGTGATAGCAAAGGCTGATGGTACTTTTGTTCCACGCGAAAGACGAAAGAGGCACGAGGAAAAGGGTAAAACATGCTCTCTCGTTTATATAAGCGATATGACAATAAGATATATCTTTTGGAAAAAAATTTGCGGTATTGATGTATGATTGATGCATTTGTTTTTTATGATCTTAAAATTTGTTTTTCTGTTCCTTATGTGGCAGGGAGAAAACGAAAAGAGCAACATGATGCGAGCCAAGCCGGAATGGGTGGCGTTCCTGCTTATGCTGGTCCCTATGGTTCAGCACCTCCGGTAAGCAAGTTTTCTGTTTCATTGAGGGATAACTTACTCCCAATTTCAGCTTTGTTTATACCTTCACTATCTATGTTTTGATTTGGATATCTACGATCATATTTATTACATGTCGTGATTGGTGTTGCTTGAACTGAAACAACTCTTAACTGATTCCGAAGTTTATTTGGTGGAAAATTGCATGTGACTCATAAAAGTTGGGAAGTTGACAAGTTACTTGGAACGTAAACAAATTAGATAGGTGTATAACAGCTGGAAACTGTTATGAAAAATACACAGATAAAGTAATTTTTTGGTTTATTTTGGTGATTGGAAATTTTTTTTCATTCAAGTAGTACCCTTCATGGTTTATCTATTCCAAGTTTGTATTAGTTCATTGAAACTGGTGTATATGACATGAAATTAGTAGAATGCACTGTACTGGGTTATCGAATCATGGAGTTCACTGTTACTAGTTACACTTTGCTATCTAAATCTGGCTTGAAAATTGTATTACGCATTTAAGTGGGAGTCTAGGCTCAAGCATGCTCTTTGGATAGTGTATAATCTGCGGCTTAGCCCGTTTGGTTGATTTTAAAATGACGAAACTTTGCCCTCAATTATATGCTCTTGTGCAATCCTTGACCACTCTTCTCTCTCACAAACTTGTGCAGCTTTCCCAAATACCGTATCCTGGTGGTGTGAAGTTACCCGAGGCTCCTGCTCCACCAAACAACATACTATTTGTTCAGAATCTTCCGCAGGAGACAACTCCCATGATGCTGCAAATGCTCTTCTGCCAGTATGCTGGTTTTAAGGAGGTTAGAATGGTTGAAGCTAAGCCTGGTATTGCTTTTGTGGAGTATGGAGATGAGATGCAATCAACAGTAGCAATGCAGGAACTCCAAGCTTTTAAGTTGACACCGCAGAGTTCGATGTTGATTACCTATGCCAAAAAGTAGGATTTAGGTCTTCGCTATTCATGTAAGCTGCAGCCATGGATCCTTAACTAGAGTGTTTTTAATCCGTTGAGATACCAATGCTTCGATGTATTATTATCGCCGGGATATATTAGAGAAGGAAGAGTTGGCGTACCATATCGGTAGATAAACTTGTCATGCGAGGAATTGTGGGTAGGCATTTGATAAACCAATATTTATACTATATATTTCGCCCTTTTATATTTGTTTTCTTATCTAGTTTAGTTGGAAGTTTTAAGTATTTATGATACTTTTACCATATTGTGTTTCTAGGAGCAGCAAGATCGAGTTTGATGGAAAAATATGTAAACGGTGAAATTTTTGAATAATTATAGTTGGGGCTGATTCACAAGAGATTGAAGATAATTATATTGAGTTTTCAGCTCAAAATGTTGTCTTCCGCTTGTGGCCTTCGGCTTGGTCTTCCAGACCAGCTCTCGGCTAAATAAATAAAAAAAAAAAAAAAAAAGGGAAGGGGGACAACAATAACGATGAGGAATGATGAGGAGGCATCATGATTATGTTTTGTAGAAAAAGAAAAAGGAAGTCCTTTTTCAAAGGGCAGACGGATGAGTTTTCGTGTGAAGGAGCAAAACTAACGAGGGGGTTTTTGGTTGTTTTGGAGTTCGCAGAGAGAGCAAAAGAGAGGGCAGAGAGCAAAAGGAGACAGAGAGTGTGGATGGAAGCAGCAGAGCAGAAAGAAGCATGCTCCTCTCTTTGAGGAGAAGATCGGAGAGCTCATCTTGTAAAAGAGGGTTGTTTTCTTTCTTTGATTTTTAATGGATAATTTCTTATGTATTCATATAAGTATGTATAACTAATTTTCTTTTGTTAGAGAGACCGTGAACCTCAACATGATTACATAGATTTTTCTTTTAATTGCTTAAGTGTTGTTACATGCTTGCTTAGATATTTTCAGTCACTGAATTAAACTATCAATGTGCCTTGATGCTTGATCACCATTATGATACTTAGAAAAGTCATCAGATGCAATTTTGAACGAGTATCACGTTAAAATTGGTTATGCTTCTTGTGATTGAGGATTGTAATTTCTCCTAAGGTAAATATCATACTTTTAGGGATTACATGGTTTACCAAAAGGATTTTCACCAAGATTATAAAAGAACTAGGATTGCAGGGAAGGTAAAACACGCAGGAAAGCTATAAGACCACACAAGGTTTTTCACTGTGATTGCATGCCCTCAACATTGTAGGGAGCAACCTTTTTATAATCACTTTTCGATTACAATAGGGTTTCAAAAACCCTATTTACAAGCTTACATTTCGAAATTCAAATACTTTACTAATTCTGATAAAACAAATATTCAAAATTCAAATGAGTTTAACAGAAGCTCCACTTGATAAGTGTTGTTGACTGAGTAAACCAACTGAAGAGTTTCTATTGGAAGAGGAAACTTGACTTCGTCAAACAGATTAATGAATCACTCATGTTTATATTTAATCCAAATGTCATGGATGAATTGTATGTAGTGGTATGCGTTTTAGCTTGAATGTCACAAGTAAAACTACACAAGGAAAAACCCAACCTTTAAAGCATGTGTGTTTTCGATTACTTAAGCAATTGGAAGAGCTATATAGGAGTGTTGTTCGTAAAGGTTGAACTCTAGTGCCTTGTCAATCTAATTTTCTTCAATTATTTATTTTATCTTGAGTTTCTACATTTACTTGTTTTGTTTAGTTGGATCACTATTTCTATAAGCCAACTCCCATTTTCGATATTTGTTTAAGTCACGTACAATAGGATTCAGTTTTGTCAAATTAGTACAATTTTTAGAGTTAATTAAGTCAAATAATCCAAAAACTCATAAATTGTTTATACCAGCCCCTTAGGAGATCAACCTTACTTGAACCACTCTATACTACAAAAACTTGTTCTCTTGCAAGAATTTTCTATGGTTTAACCCTTGTTTTTCAGGTGGTAAAATCTCTATCAGTATACATGTGGATTCAGTATATCGATCTTCTGGATAATTTCATCCTATAACATTTGAAACGATGACAAAATAAGCAAAAAATCTTACGACATATGTACAGGAACGTAGCAGTAAAATCTATTTTCTTGAGCACGATGATCGTCAGACCAATAATTTCTTGGTTGTATGACATTGCTAGATACTCTAGGTTATCGGAGGCAAAGGAACCACGAAGTAGCAAAAGGAATGTTTTTTAGCCATGAACAAAGAGTGAAAGTAGCTCTTAAAATTCCTGGACTTTGCATCACAATCCCAAGAAGGCACCGTCTGAGTCCCATGTCGAAAATCTTGTTAATGGTCTCGTCACCATTTATCCATGGCAGCGTTGGCACGCATTTTTTGCCTTCCATACACCCTTCAAGCACACGACCAGTTTGTTCTACCCGATTATTCCACCGATGCGTTTTTCGCAACTAGAAGCATCATCATCTTTGAACAGATTTACAGACTTTGATGTACAATACGTTGTCCGACATACAGATACCATGATTCCTGGGAAACCTTTTTCTTAACTATCAGCCTCTCCAGTCCATGAAAACCTGCATTAACTTGTTGAGATCGAAGTCCATCCCTTTATCCTGAATCTGTTAAGGTCCTCGTACCGCCACCTTCCACCGCCATTAGCATCTCATGTTTTCGTGTTCATGGTCTGAAGCTCCTGTGAATTTGCGAGGGAGCGGACGAAGAACAGGGCGCGGGAAATGTGAGAGAAAGAGAGTTACGAATGTGAGAGGGAAGTTGATTCCCATGGCGTTTTGGTGTTTGTTTGACTCGGTTTATACAAGACCCGAATTAATTCGGCCCAAATCCGGTGGGCCTGATCATAACATTGGGACTTTGCACACAAGTCAAATAACTTGTAAAAGCCCGCAGAAAGCCCGCCAAAAGAAGCTTGCTGCGGACGTTGGGGGTGAAAGACAAGACCTCAATACTGCAACTCGCGCTTCAAAATCCCTCCTCCGCTTCACAGTTTCAACCATCTCTCCCACAATGGCAAGCAAGCTCAAAGTAGAAGAGCTCCGAAACGAATTGGCTCAGCGTGGTCTCCCCACCACCGGAGCGAAGCCCATCCTGGTCTGACAACACCCCCTCTCTCTACTCTCTCTCTCTCTCTCTCTCTCCAAGATTCTCTGGTATATTGATTTTGAATTTCTGCAGGTTCGGAGGCTCGATTCTGCTCTTCGCGAGGAGAAGAAGCAACTCACAGGCGCAAGTGATGGTTCAGCAGCAGAAGCTTCACTGGTTAGTGGAAAGAGGAAAAGGAAGTTAATTGAAGAGGAGGGAGGTGGGGAGTCAACTGTGTCCGAGAAAATGAAGGCCACCGAAAAGTTTAGTGGCATGAGCGTGAAGCAATTGCGCGAAGAAGCCGCTCTTCGTGGAGTTTCGACATCTGGGTCGAAAAAAGACTTGCTGGAGAGGCTTTCTGAACATTCTGATGACATTCCTCTAGGTAAAGGTATGAGCTTTCACATTCTGTGTTTGGCTGCCAAGAAATATTTTGTAGGAAATGACTAGTAATAGATGTCTCAATTTTTATCCGAGTGAAGATTTTTTGTTTTTCGAATTACAACTGGGTGTTTATTTTGTTATGCTCTGTGGTGATGCTAGCTAATGAGGAAGGAAATGGTAGCAAGGAGAAGATAGTAACCGCAACCAAAAAGGGTGCGGCGGTACTGGATCAGTGGCTACCGGATGACATAAAGGCACATTATCATGTTTTGCAACTGGCAAGTCTATATTGATAAGTCAATTTCATTTCTTGCTTAGTAATTGGTGTCAATTCCATTTGTTTCTAATTAGGCATTATCTAATGATGTTTTTGGTGTAGGGGGATGATATATACGATGCCATGTTAAACCAGACCAATGTTGGTCATAACAACAACAAGTTCTATCTGATTCAAGTTCTTGGTAAACCCTTTCCTCCTTTCAACAAATAATTAGTCAACTAGATCTTTGGATTGTCGTAATTTTGAATTCATGGCAATGCAGATGGAGTTAGGGTGACACTTGTGATTCTAGCAATCAAACTTATCAAGTTATAGAAAATTTCACTGAGAAGTTGAGAACGATTTCAGTTCGTAACTAATACTGATTATAATGGTTAACAAATTACAGAAACATCATTTATGCTTTTTTCCATAAATAAAGTTTCATCTGCTCCATTGAGTTATGATACTCATGGCATTGGTGCATTACACAAGTTCAGGCTATGTGTACTCATCTGCATTTTATTTCTTTGTAACATGCAGAATCTGATGTTGGTGGAAGTTTCATGATTTACTATAGATGGGGGAGAGTAGGTGTTAAGGGTCAGAACAAGCTAGCTTCTCACGCATCCCTCGAGAGTGTGATCAATGAGTTTAAACAGAAATTCTATGACAAAACCAGGAATGATTGGTCCAATCGAAAAATGTTCCAGCCTATCCCATCCTGCTATATGTGGATAGAAATGGATTACAATGAAAAGGAAGCTGTGAGTATCCACAACTCTTGGTTTATGTTTGTATAAATTTCTGAATTTTGGAGATACTCTTTATTCCCTGAAGCGATTCTTGGTTGCAAATTACTGAGGACATGTCTTTCCTAATGAAAAGGAAAATTATCTTGCTTACTCCTCCTTATTATTTGATAATGATTATCAGGTCGAAGAAAAGAATGGCTCTGCTTTAGGACGTCAACCTTTGGAAACACAACTTGAGCCCTGCATTGCAAAGTTTATATCTCTTATTTGCAACATCGGCATGATGAAGCAGCATATGATGGAAATAGGTTAGTCTGATTCACTGTCAAAAAGACATTATATTGCAAATTACGGCTCATAATAATCTAAAGCTGTTGAGTTGCTTAAATGGGAATAATAATTTTATTTGGAGACTCAAACGTTTCTTTAGGTGTATTCTGTTTAGTTAACTGATGTACTTTTTCCCTTATTTGGACACATTCTTCTTCTTTGGTAGGATACAACGCTGATAAGTTGCCTCTGGGTAAGCTTAGCAAATCAACAATTCTAAAGGTAAGATTTTGGCCTATGAAGTGAAGTCTCCTCCAGTTTGTTGAAAGTTAATTGTAGGAAATTGCTAGGCTCCTTTAGATGACATTTTGACATCTATGCAAGAAAAGAAAAAGTTTTGTATGCATGTCAAACTGAGATTTGCAAGTAGGAATGGCTACTTCCAAGGCAAGGGGGCATGTATTTTCCATAATTGTATTTCAGTTACTAGTTTAGCTGAACAACTGAAAAGGATATTTCCTAAAACTTCTGTCAGGACTTTCTCTAAATTAACTTGAAACAATTCAGTATGAATTTTGGTACAAAACATTGAAGTTTCGTGTATGGTGCCTTCTCTTTCAATCCGTTTCTCCATGAAGATTCAACGAACCAATAATTTTTTATTTTTTGGAAACATATAGGGCTATAACATCCTGCAGAGGATTTCTGATGTGATTGGCTCATCTAACAGGAAATTAATCGAACAATTAAGCGGGTAAGGTTTCTCTTTCTCTCTCCCTCCCTACACCCACCACACCCCCCCCCCCCCCCCCTTTTCTCTCTCTTTCAAAACCCCAACAAAAGAGTGATTTCATTTGTTAATTCTTTAAAATATACTTTTAACAAAATGCTTGACTAATGTCTACCTCTTTTCTTCTCTTCCTTTGGTACCTTAAGCTTTAAATAATTTTGGAATTCCAATTTTTGATGGGCATCATCCTTTTGCAGAGAGTTCTACACTGTCATTCCTCATGACTTCGGGTTTAAAAAAATGCGTGAGTTCTCTCTCTCTCTCTCTCTCTCTCTGTGATTGTAAAAGAAGGCATCTAATTGGTTTGGAAATATGAGTAATGCAGATAACTTTGTGATTGATACTCCTCAGAAGTTGAAACACAAGCTAGAAATGGTAAGTCTTTCTGTAATTTGTTTCATGTATATGTGTGGATAGTTCGGCTAAGAACTTCCAAACTTAAATCAAAGGTTATTTTCCTTTGAATAAGTATCATGCCACCTACAAGTGCTATTTGTGTGTTTATTAACTCTTCTCTACTTGAAGGTTGAAGCACTAGGTGAAATTGAGGTTGCAACGAAATTGTTGAAGGATGACACAGGAATGCAGGTAAATCTCTTTTAGTCTTGTTCTTCATGGTTCACTTGCGGACTTGCCCTTTTGTCCTATTATGTATCCTTCCTACTAATGTCTGTTTTCTGCCACCATTATAGGGAGATCCCTTGTATTCCAGTTATCGACGCCTTCATTGTGACATGACACCGGTTGGTGCTGATTCTCATGAATTTGATATGGTAACTATGAGTTATAAGCAATGGAAATTCGAATACAAACAAAATTAAGCTAATTCAACTTACACTGTTGGTGCTGATTCTCGTGAATTTTATTGCTGTTGTCAGATTACAAAATATTTGCATAATACTCATGCAAAAACACATTCAACTTACACTGTTGATATCGTTCAAATATTTCGCACATCTAAAGAGGGTGAAGTTGAACGCTTCAGAAAGGTTAGGTTGATCCATGAGAGGCTTTTGATAAAATGTTTCAGCCATCTTGGATAATTTAACAAGTACTTGAAATTTCCTTATTGGTCTTGAATATCCTACATTTTTATTTTAAGCAATTTCTAATTGTGTTTTACTCTTGTGAGCAGTTTTCTAGTACGAAAAATAGAATGCTTTTATGGCATGGTTCTCGTCTTACAAATTGGGCTGGTATATTATCTCAAGGTGATCCTTTATGATTTAGCTTTGAATCATGGGTGGGTGTGTTTGCGTGTGTGTGTGTCACTGTGTGACACTCGTGCAGATACAGTATGAATGTTTTACTGCTTAATAATTTAGTTAAACATGTGTCGTGACAATCCAGGCTTGCGCATAGCTCCACCTGAAGCCCCAGTGACTGGTTACATGTTCGGGAAAGGAGTTTACTTCGCAGACATGTTCTCCAAAAGCGCAAATTATTGCTATGCATCTAATGGCTGTACATCTGGGGTGCTGCTTCTATGTGAGGTAGTCTTTCAAGTTTCAGCAAGTAAAAAAACATAAATTTTATACTAAAAACAAAAGTACCTGGTGTTAGGAGTGGTTTGGCATCAGATTATCAAATATATCCTTCAATGCATTGTATATCATTAAGATCAAGATTTATACGAGAGACGAGAAAAATATTTCTGGATTAAAAATTTGAATTTCCCCTACCGCAGATCTGCTACACTTGAAAGCCCAACTGAATACCTAGGTACTTTTTCGCACTAAATGTTCTAAATACTTTTTAACTATGGTTTATTTAGGTTGCGCTGGGTGACATGGCTGAGCTTTTAACTGCTAAGTACGATGCTGACAAGTTACCCGTAGGAAAACTAAGGTTTGCGTCTCTGTTATCTTTATTGGACCCTCCCATCTATTGCTCATAAGTAATAACTAAACTGTTTTTTAAGTGATGAAGCTTCTTCTGGTCATTTATGCTTTTGGTATTTTGCATTGGAAGTTTATCTTCCTTTCCGTACAATCTTTGTGTTTGTTTAGACCGAGAAGTTTATCTGCATTGTGTGAGAGAATTAACTTTTGACGAAAACTTGTTGCATTATCTCCATTTTTTCGAAACTAAGACGTGTATTGCTTGACTTAATCTGGCATGTAACATAATATTGCAGCACTAAAGGAGTTGGGGGAACTGAACCAGATTTTTCAGAAGCTCAGTTACTAGATGATGGTGTCGTGGTTCCCCTAGGAAAGCCGAAAGAGAATACAAGCCGCCCGAAGGTAGAAATACATCATTTTTTTCGAATTACTTTGGATGTGAATTTGATTTGGAACTGTTGAACCAGGCAGGCAGCTTCATTGTAAATTAATCTTCGTTTACGTGCATCTTGCAGGGTTCATTACTGTACAATGAGTACATAGTTTACAATGTGGAACAGATCAGGATGCGCTACGTTGTTCAAGTTAATTTCAATTTCAAGATATGATTAGCATCTGGATGTATAGAACTAGATATAACGGTGTTCATTTTGCCATTATTTATTTATCATTGTTTTTCGACTTGTCTCCTCCGTTCTTTCGTTACAAATCACATTTTGACACATGCATATATTACTCATGAAAAACACAAATAGAAAAAATTGTGCACGTATGTCATATTGTGATTGACAGAGAATGGGAACGCCTAATTTCAACGGAAAGAAACAACTATTTATCTCATATTTTTACTCTTTCTAAACATGAATTCCACTTTAAGAGTACTTCTGCCCTAAATACTAGCATAATCCTTGTTTTGTAATACTAATAAAATTGAGTGAAATATTAGTAGATTAATAGTTAGTCGGTGTTAAAGCTAAAAAATGGATAAGAAAAATGAAGAAATCCCAATAAAGATGCACCTACCCAGACCACCACAAGTACCTTCTGTATTGTTGCTGTTCTTTTTAAGTGTTTGAATCCAAGTCAAACATATCAATCAAGTAGGGTGGAAAAAATTGAAGTTTATGGGGGAAGGAAGGACAGGAAGCATGATTGAGTTTCACATTCAAATCTTCTACGTACATACATGAGTGTGTGACCAAATAAAGCATTTACTACGACAACCCATTTTTCAAGCACTGGGTGCAAACACACGCCAAGTATTTATGTTCCTACACCAAAGGTTTCATCATGACCTCATCCAGAATCTATGTTCTTCTAACACAATTTTGTGGCTTCAGAGGGTGACCTCAAATTTCAATTTTGACTTAAATCGGGCCTCGGTATTGGACTTGAACAAGAAAAACTCGAGTGTAACATATGCGATGGTGGGAGATACAGAAGAAGATGAACAACCGGTTAGTGAATACACAATAGAATTATCCTGCTAAACTGAAATTAGGTCTTGTGATGCGAGAGATTGAAGAAAGAAAGAAATATGTCCGGTTGTGTACTATAATCCGGGATGCTAAAGCAAAAAAGAGCAAGAGAGAATAAACATCATGACTGAAACTGAATTTTACATTAGTGTCACGAAATGAAATCTATGTCCACCTCTACGTATTCAGCTTTGTCAGTTTAGCTTACCCCACAACAACACGAAATGAAATCTATGTCCAACTCTACATATTCAACTTTGTCAGTTTACCTTACCCCACAACATTAAAAACGAAAGAAAAGACCGGACATATAGATGGTTCAGCTTGAAAACTGGTACAAGGTTTTTGTAACCGATATACATCCCAGCCTCCGTATTTAACATTGGTGTTTAATGCGCGTAACCATTGTTAAATGTAGAGTCTCAAAATCCTGGAAATCAGATATTGTACATTGAAGGATTTCGAATGCTAAACCTAACATAGTCCAATCGGTCACTTTTACACCCTCACCATTAAGGGCGGATCCACTCTTGGATTCGGGTGGTCTCGAGACCACCCGGACGTCCGAAGAAGCGCCTGTGAGAACCTCTAAAGACCACCCAACAGTGTGAGCGTGTAGTGGAAAATTGAAGACCACCGTGGCTCTGCTGTTCTTGGACCTTGGTTACAATGAAGAAGAAGGAAATTTCTCTCCATTTCCCAAGTTGCATTTTAATTAGCAAACGGATGGTGCATCACTCAACAAATATTTTTATATCATATGTTTAACACCGTTACTTTTAAAAGTGGTTTATAAATTCATACAACTTCTGAAAAGTATTTCGTAATATACTATGAACTCGTAATGTACTATGAACTCGTAGTCCCTATCACTTTTATCTCTTACCATCAAATTCATTAAAATACTAAAGCAAACATTCTGATATTTTGTATGTTATATATTGAATAATAAACTTTAAATTCTCAATACAAGTATATATTTTTATAAGTGTAAATAGGCACTTACTTATATAATATGTACTAAGTTTACTTAAATCACCTAACCTACCTATGCCCTTGCCTAGACTCCATCTAGACGCATAGGAGGCCCAGGCCCGCTTCTGGACAAGTGCCTAATGTTCATTGATTAGGATCACTCGAAGTTAGAATCTGGAATCCGTCACTGCTCACCACTAAATTAAGTTGGCTAACCCTAGTAAATTATACTATCAAAGATTTTGTAGATTGATAATGTTGGCGTGGCGCAGGAAAGAGTGGTGAGGGGGTTGAACAAATGCACGCTTGTTGCAGTAGCAGGGTTGGCAACGTTGCAGAATACAAGGATACGGTATGAGCTAATGCTTACATTAGAAGGAGCTTTGCCATGATCAGGAGGTGTGACATTGTTGAGGTCCTTATTTATGAAAGAAAGAAGCATAAATTCTGGAAGGGGAAAAGATGCATGAGGCCTAGTCCGTATATAGGGAATGATCATATATCTATGTAGGGAGTAGGGAAACCCTAGCTGGCTACTTCAGAAACTCATCAAACAAAAACATAAATAAAATTAATACCACACTCAAAAGGTTGAGCCCTACACGCAAAGCCCTACGTGCACTCCTTACATTATTCATTTCATCTCTTCCCATGCTTGCACTATATTTCTTCCCAACCAAAAGGAAAAGGCTAGCTCAACCTCCACTTGGCCCCACTCAAATTCCAATAGATGATCATGAAAACTTTCATGCAACAAGGAAGTTGCTGTAACAATATCATTTAAGCTGGCAGTGTGTGGTTGATTTGAGATATTATTGAAACAACAAATTATAAGCTTTTCTCGTAATCTAGGGCAGCCTTGGAAGCATCATGGCTTATAGTCTTGATTGATCCAGGATTGTTATGCAACGAGAATGTTATTATAATATTATTTCAAACTTGTTACACAGTGGCATGCGAAAAAGTTAAAACACATGACAATATGTGATTGATTTAAAATATTACTGAAATAACGTATCTTGTAAGTTATTCTCGTGATCTAAGAGGGCTTGGAAAACATCATGGCCCGAGGTTCTTGATTTCCTAGGCTAGCTAGCAATAAAAGATTGAACAATATTTGGATATTCTAAAAAATATTGGTAGGTTCGGAAGGAAGAGATTGAATTTTTAAAGGTTTGTGTTTGTCTTCTTTGTGTGAGGGCATTGAAACTGAATCCTCCAAGACTCCAAGGAACCACACAAAATAATCGCATGTATGAATTTTGTGAAAAAAGGCAGACAGGACTCACTTTTGGGCTCTCCTTTGATATCTCTATTTTGAAAATTTATTATTATCTTCACGTACTATCTTAACATCATGGCATGGAGTGGCTCGACAGAGCTTTCCTCCCTGCCATGCGCTGCTGTACCTTCATCTTAATTACTCCTCTGCCATACCTCCTTCCTTCATCTCTTAGCATGATGACACGATCTAAACCCTCTCTCTCTCTCTCTCTCTCTCTCTCTCTCTCTCTCTCTCTCTCTCCATTTGCAGCTATAAATACGTATGCTTCTTCCTTCCTTCCTTCATCCAATTCCAGTGAGTGAGTAGAGTTCCATTGTAGTAGCTAGGGCTTGAAACGGGTGAGACTCCTTGTTGGAGAAGCAGGGCACGTGCAAACCCCATTGGCTATGCTTCAAATGCGAGCGAATAAGTTCTTTGCACGTGCTCCCCCTCTCCAACACGGGTTCCTCACCTATTGCTTATCTCTCTCTCAGAGTTCAGACATCCATGCAAGTTCCTGATCTCCCGCTGTTACAGTGCAGGTAATATCCAGAACCACTCAAACAATTGTAACATATATTCTACTCTTTCTTATGCCGTAATTTATTTGCTCCCAAGTTCCGCAGGTGTCTATAAAATTTGTGTAAGTACTTAAGGGGTTTTACTTTTTCTTTATCGTGCATGCATGCATTTTTTACTATCGGATGCATGCAAGCGTATGCCCCATGCAATTCAATTGTCTTTATTTTCCCCCTCTCTTCTTTACATTTTTCATTTACTTGTTGACTGGTACACAACTTTCTGGACCCTAGCTTATTAATCTGTACTGTGACTTGGTAAACCGACCAGCAAATTGTAAGATTCTGGAGCACTTCAAAGAACAAAGAAAGATGTCCCAGATGTTTTTTAAAATTTCAAGTGATTTTCAATGTGAAATGCAATTCAAGTGGTAATCTTTACGATTGGAATAAATTCTATTTGTTCAAACAAATTAACACCGCGTGATGTTTGTAGATATAATTCAACTTTTTTGACGAGTTCATGTTATTTTGATGTATTTATACTATAAAGTTATGTACTTATACAAGGACTAATGTAAAAGAATTGACTAATAATTAGAATTTATACATGTTGTATAGGCCAGGTATTGTGGAATAAGAAAACAAGAGAGGTTGGTGTTCTCCTCTTTCGTTGGATCATAAACTAAAACTTTGCTTGTTTGAGATGGATTTCACCTTACCTCATTAGGATGGGATTGAATCATAAATAATTTGGGATCTTCTAGCATTTTGTTTGAAACCTAGCTAGTGATGAATGTCTCCATGAAGACAGGCTACCATATGAAGAAAGGATCTACTGCCATTGACATGATCGTTGCATGTCAAGATTTGTAATAAGGACTGTAAAAAATGAAGGCTTATAATAAATCTTGTAAAAATTTTCAAAATCGCTTTGAAAACGTAGGTTTTAACTCACAGTTTTTGCAAAAAAAAAATAATTAATTTTTAGTTTAAAAAATATATTTTGCGTGGGAGCTAAAGAAAATATTGTAAGACCCTTAGCTGTATTCCTACCATTTATGTGGTCCCAAAACTATTTTTTATTGATTTTTAAAGTTGAAACTTTAAAAATCATATAAAATAATAAAGAGCTCCCCAAATATATTTTTAATTTTTAAGGTGTCGAAACCGAAATGTCCTAAACTAATATTAGCAAACATGTGATGCAACGAGAATGACTAAAATTTTGTCTTATAATGAACCTTGTAAAAATTACAAAAATCTATTTGAAAACGTGAGTTATAACTCACAATTTTTGTGAAATTTTTTTTAGTAATTTTAAGAAATTTTTGATTGGGAGCTAAGAAAAATGTTGCGGCCTGGAAACTAATTTTATTGGTTTTTAAAGTTGGAAAAAAATATATATATAAACTAATAGAGGGTCCACCAAATATATTTTATGTGTCAAAA